CTCACCCTATAAGGGTCGAATTGAAACCTGTATACCCCAGAGAGGCATTTCTCTTCTTCCAGAAAATGACTTTTGCAGCCTACGGAAGTGTTATCTCAGTAGTTATGGCGTCTAGATAACAGATGCGGAATGATGGTAAAAACATTATCACTTGTTTATATTAGTGTGTTTCTTTGTGGTAGTAAGGCAGATATTAAACAACTTTAATTTAATATTTTTATATTCTATACTATAAAAAAATAGGGTTATTAATTTTATCATTTCGTTTGTAATACCATAAATCTAGCTGCGTGTCAGCTTTTTTAGAAATGCGTAATAAGAGGTACTCAAAAAGAACATAGCACTGTGTTTCATAAAGGGCCAAAAATCCCAAATGTAAAGTCCTTAATGTAAAGTCCATTGTAAATGAGGGGGACCGACATTTTCTATTTTCCAATTATTTTAAAATATACCAAAATATTAGGATCTGCAAAGCTTAAAAACAATTAAACAAGTTTTATACCCTACAACACTATGTATTGGGGTATTATAAGTTTGATTGGGCAAAAAACTATGTAACACCTCGAAATATTGGTCCCCGCCACAGGAAATTATATAGGGATCTTCTTATCTCGCCCAGCAGAGTCGATCCAGCTATCCGTCCGTCCGTCTGTCCATGTTAATTTGTAATCACGCTACAGGTCGCAATTATGGCCCGACACTCACGAAATTGGAAAGCGAGGTAGGCTTAGTGTAAGAATAGAAGCCTATTGTTTTTGGAGATGATCGGGAAATATTTAGGGGTTGAAATGGTCCAAATACAGAAAAATTTCCTGATTGTCCAGCAGTTTGTAAACAAACAAAATGCTCGTCTTTACTTGCCAAAGAGGTCAGCTGAAAATGTGCACCTTCCGTTGGCCACAAGAACTCATGCGCCGGCCATGGTGAATGTGTGGGCCTCCATAACTACAATGGTCGCTCTCCGCTCATATCAATTGACCGTGGCATCTAAATAAATGCCGAATATTATCTCGAAAATATTCTAGAGGGTGTATTAAAGCCTTGGTCACGCAAATATATTTGACCGCAGACCTTGGACATTCCAACATGACTCAGCAGCATCGCACTCAGCACGCGCCACCCAAGAATGGTTACAAAATGAGGTTCCTCGCTTCATTTCCAGCGCACAATGGCCACCTAAATCTCCCGATACCAATCCGTTGGACTATTGTGTCTGGAGTATTTTGGAAAGCAAGGTTGGCACTAAAAAATACCAAATTGTCGATCACTTCAAGCAAGCGTTTCACCCGTAATGGATCAAAATACCGCAGAGCAACATTTGGGCAGCGCGTGATGGTTTTATTGGCCGTTTGAAAACCATAATTCGTGTTAAAGGTGACCAATTCTAACAAATCTAATCTTATTCTAAAATTTGATGCTATTTCCGACATTTTTTGCTTTCATTCAATAAAATAAAAAAAGTAAGCAAAGGCTATAGTCGTGCAGGGCCGACCATGTTATACCCTACAGCACTACAATATGTTATGTCCAAATTCACTTTGGAAGATTTCGCTTATTAAATTATATCTCGGAACACTGTCCAGATATTACCCTTAGCATTTTGACCAGGGTATGTCCCTGCCCAATATTTATGCACTCCGTCGTGCTGTTAGTTGTTGTGGTCCATTTTACAGTTAAATATAATCCAATGGTCATACAAAATGCTAGAATTTTTTCCTGTCTTTATCTCTCTATCTTCAGCCGTGTCGATTGGCTTCAATTGTGTGATCAGGATTTTTTTTCTGTTTTTGGTTCATTTGAACCCCTAAATATTTTTCGATCATCTCCAAGAGCAAGAGGCCCCTCTTTATCTTCAAATTTAGACTCATCTGTATGATTTGCTTGACTAAGATATTTGTCTATATTCGTCAACGTAATCGGCATAAAAAGCCAGAATTAATGTTGGTATTTTTCACACAAAAGTAGTGGTCCGTTCTACCCGCTGTCCTAAACTCTAACTTCATGCGAGATGTCGTGACCTTTATAACGACTGCAAAATCAGGATCATTTTTAGTTTTTGGTTCATTTCAACCCATAAATATATTGCTGGCATCTTTGAAAACAATAGGCCTAGCCCCTCTGAGCCTAACCCTACCCTTGTGAAAATTTTCGTGAAGATCGGACCATTGTTGCAATCTTCATATAATAACCCCAACCTGTGTTGTAAGGTGAGAAAATATTACAAAATATACACTTCAATGTTATAAGTCAAATTGAAAAAATCCCATGCGATAATAAATATGAAAAAAAAATTCACTAAATACTAAAAAATCCATATTAACATTATGATTGGCATCTTTTTATGCGATGTTTTTAGATGTTATAATTATATGCCTAGAGCGCATTCTGAATTGACAAAAATTGTAAAAATCGGTCCAGCCATTCTTGAGATATAAACATTCTAACATCCCCTACCTTTGTATTTATACATTGTATATATTTCGCTATATATATCCGACATATTTACTATCGACATCTATGTAGTGGTCAGAATTGACCTGTTCGTCTATTTGTGATTTCGCCGGGATTAAAAATATTTGCGGTTTAATGGAAATGTTGACTTTTAGTTAACACAAATGTCATGGTCTATCACCCACTAAATATTACCTGATCAAAATTGGAATTACTTCCGATTCGATTGGTCTATAATTGCGTCCTGTAGAGCAATTGCAACTTTTGCACTTTTTGGAATTTCAATGGCTTTACCCCGAGCTCATTTTCAATATTTGCCGAATGGAGTATTGCGATATGTTCAGCTCACAAGCAATTTTTCGCCCACTGCGACGCGGGTTTCGAAATCTCGCTTGAATTCTATCACGAATAGCTTTTTTTCTGGAAAATCCTTATCAAAATGCTTTTATACGCCTGTAAACAATATAATGAACTGTCACTGGAATAATTTTAACAGCTGTCGGACGAGTGGCTTAGAAATGTAAGCAGTCTGAAGATGGTTGCAGTTTTTTCATCTCACCCTGTCTTGGGTTCTCATTTCGATCAATGTGAAATTTTTTTTGCAAAATTTTGCTTTTTTTGGGAGGTAGTAGAAGTCGACCGGCATCGCCCATCTCAAAACTCTAAGTTTGTTACAATATTTCTATATAACAAGTTTGTACCAATTCGGAAACTTCTTTCTGCCGTATCCAATGATATAAGTTTTGTTGGCCATGCGGCTAAGGGTATAATAATGTTCCTAATTTGATAACTCAATTTCTTCGTAGTTTTAGAGCGAATTTTTATACCCTAAAACACTTTGTGTTGGGGGTATTATAAGTTTGATTGGGCCAAAAATTATGTAACACCTCGAAATATTGATTTCCCACATAGGAAAGTATATATGGATCTTCCTAGCTCGCCGAGCAGAGTCGATCTAGCTATGTATGTCCGTCCGTCCGTCTGTCCATGTTAATTTGTAATCACTCTACAGGTCGCATTTAGGGCCCGATCTTCACGAAATTTTTAATGGAGGTGGGGATAAGGTCAGAATAGAACCCTATTTCTTTTGGAGATGATCGCACAATATTTAGGGGTCGAAATGGACCAAAAACTGAAAAAAATCATGATTTTGCAGTTGCTCTACATGTCGCAATTATGAACCAATTGATGCGGAAATTAGCATGGGGCTAAAGCATCGGGCTGGGCAGAAGCCTTCCGATTTTGATGGTCATCGGGTAATATTTAGTGGGTGAAAAAGACTGTAATATTTGTGATAAATAAAAGTCAAATTTCCATTGTACCGCGAATATTTTTAGTCCCAGCGAAATGATAAATAGACGAACAGGTCAATTCTGACCGTTACGTAGATGCCGATAGTAAATATATCGGATATATAGCGAAATATAAACAATGTGTATATACAAGGGAAAGGAATGTTAGATGGAATGCTTATATCTCAAGAATGGCTGGACCGATTTTGACAAATTTTATCAATTCAGAATGCCCTCTTGACATTAAAGTATAAAATCTAAAAAAATCGCATAAAAATAAGTCAAAAATGGTCTTATAATAGATTTTTTATTATTTTGTGACATTTTTTTATTTTTTCATATTTTTTATCGCATGCGATTTTTTCAATTTGACTTATAATATTAAGGTTTAAATTTTGTAATATTTTTCCACCTTACAACACAGGTTTGGGATATTATATGCAGATTACAATTATGATCCGATCCTCACGAAAAGGGTAGGGTTAGGCTCAGAAGGGCTAGGCCTATTGTTTTTAAAGATGTCCGCAATATATTTAGTGGTTGAAATGGACCAACAATTAAAAATGTTCCTGATTTTGCAGCCGTTATAAAGGTCATAAATAGAAACCAAAGGACACGAAATCTCGCATGAAGTTAGAGTTTAGGACAGCGGGTAGAATGGACCACTACTTTTGTCTGAAAAATACCAACATTAAAAATGCGAACTTCTGCCTTTTTTGCTGATTTCTTTGACGAATATAGCCAAATATCGTAGATCGTATAGAAGAGTCTAAATTTGGAGTTACAGAGGAGCCTCTTGCTTTTGGAGATGATCGCAAAATACGACGGAGTGCGTAAATATTGTAAAATATTGTCAAAATCCTAAGGGTAATATCTGGGCAGTGCTCCGTCACATAATTTCAAAAGCGAAATCTTCCAAAATGAATTTGGACATAAGGGGGCTTCTAACATATTGTAGTGTTGTAGGGTATCACATGGTCGGCCCCGCACGACTATAGCCTTGGATTACTTGTTCCATTTGGGGTTTATTATACTCACCAAGAACTATGGATGGAATGGAATTTTTCAACCCCACACATTGAGTTCCAATTTCTGTTACAGTCCTATTAAAAGAATTTGGATACGATAAACCATTTCTAAGCTTTTTTAATGTCACGATCTCTCATACACAGTGGATTGTCTCATATCCGGCACCTATCAGTAATAACCACTCAAATGTGAAGATAATTTTTATTCGTTCAGTTTTTCTATTGCATTGCTGTTATATTCAGTCGATTTCCGACCGCACACAACACTAGATGGATTAGTTCGCAAAAACCTGGAAAAAACTTACATCTGAAAAAAATATATATAAAGCAGATCAAAATGTCTACGGCAAATGGAATTCCATCATGGATTACAGCGGAATTATTCGCCAAAATTCTGCCAAACATTGTTAAAGATTTTGCAAAAATCAGCAATTTCAAAGTGTGCCAGGCATTGGCGCCGGGTGAAAATTATGCCACTGTTATGTTGAAGGTCCACATTGATTGTCTTCTAGCCACAGGTCGAACGGAACAGTTTACATTAATGCTAAAGGTGCCGCACAATAATGATTTGTACCGCAATGAAATGATCAAATTTCATATGTTCGCCACCGAGGCTGGAATGTACCGACAAATTGTTCCGGAATTTGAAAAACTTTATCGTTCAAAAGGTTTGGAGATAAGTTTCGGTGCCAAATCATATCAGTTGCCTGCCGTCAAGGAGGAGTATATTCTCTTAGAAGATCTCACCCGCAGAGGTTTTCGTAATGTGAAGCGACAAAATTGTCTAGATATGGAGCACTGCAGGGGAGTTTTGAAAAAGCTGGCCCAATTTCATGCAGCCTCTGCTATTTGGGTGGAAAAGAATGGATCATTCCCTGACCTTTATTCCAGGGGAATTGTACGAGAAGAAGGTAAAGGCCTATTGGGCAGTATGTTCAACAGTGGCCTACAACATTTGCTGAAGACAACAGAGGGCATGAAAAGTTGTGAACGATATTATCCAGAGTTTAAGAGATATGCCGATAAATTTATGGACGAGATATTCCATCAAACTGCCAGAGATGACAAGGCCTTTAATGTTCTCAATCATGGCGATTGTTGGTCCAATAATATTATGTTTCAATATGGCGCCCAAGGGGAATTGAAGGAAACCTATTTTGTGGATTTACAGTTGCCGTGTTTTGGAACTCCCGCACAGGATTTGTTGTATTTTATTTTATCCTCGGCCCAGTTGGATTTGAAAATCAAACATTTTGATGAAATGATACATTATTATCATCAAAATTTAATTGAACACCTAAAGCTTTTGGGATATTCCAAGCCATTGCCATTTTTGAGGGACATACATCAAATGATTTTGAAGGGCAGTATTTGGGGTAAGGTTTGAAACATTTTAGTGTTTTTAATTGGTTTTTATAAATGTTTTTATTTTTTAGCCATGATAACGGTACTCATAACCATGGCTGCGGTACTGTGTGATACCTCAGATTCCGCCACAGTGGATAATTTTGTGAGCGACTCTGAAGACAGCCAACATTTCAAGGAGCTGCTATTCAGCAATGAACGTTTCAAATCCCATTGGGAAGTAGTCTTACCCTGGCTATATCAACGTGGTGCCTTAGAGGTTTAAACTAATCGGAATGCATTTTGCATGCACTAACTTTGTTTTTGATATGCAATTAACACGCCTATAAAGGTGTCACTCGAAAGTGAGTGATATCATCTAGGGAATTTATAACACCCAATGAATTAATTGTTGTCAGACAAAAAGGTGCAAGTGTAATTGTAGGTAACGTGAGATGTGGAATCGTTGTAAATCATGGAATATTTTTTATTTGTAGAGATGTAATCATTTATTTTATAAAAATAAAATAATAAATGATGTAGTAACTTTTAAATAAGTTGAAATATTAATCAATTAATAAATATAGAGAAACTAGCTGATCTGGTCAGCGTTGTTGTCTTGTCATTTTAGTTTGTAATGATTCTTTTTTGATTTTTTAATTATACGATATTTCAGTTTGAAATACCTGTTTCTTTGTAAAAAATTATGGAATTCGTATGAAATTAAACAAAAAGCCATGTTAAGTCTTCCATCCATTTCTCTCAACATTTAAGATAAATTATTAAAATCGAATAGATAACAACCAGGTTCATGATCCGGTATATTATAATTGGTTGAAAGGTCCTAATCACATTTTTCATTCAAGCGACTCTAATTTAAATAATTAGAATTCTAATTCTAAGAATTCGATTCTAATGACATGTCCACATTCTAATATGTAAGGGCGCAACTCAATTACATTCAATTTATAGGTTAAAACGGTTCGATATATATTTTAATGTCCATTTCCTAATACTTAACTTTTAGAAGAACATCATCCGAACTATTTAGCGTTCACCCCATGATTAGGGGTAGTTTAAAGTTAAAAAAAAGTTTGATTGGGCCAAAAATTATGTAATACCTCGAAATATTGGTTTCCCACATAGGAAAGTATATATGGATCTTCCTAGCTCGCCGAGCTGAGTCGATCTAGCTATGTATGTCCGTCCGTCCGTCTCTCCGTCTGTCCATGTTAATTTGAAAGGTCGCAATTATGAACCGATCTTCACGAAATTGAAAATGGAGGTGGGGTCAGGGTCAGAATAGAACCCTATTGTTTTTGGAGATGATCGCACGATATTTAGGGGTTGAAATGGACCAAAAACAGAAAATTTTAGAAAATTTAGAAAATTATAGGCCACAATTATTAACCAATCGACATGAAAACTTACATGAAGTTAGAATTTGGGACTGGGCAGAAACTTGCTATATAGCAAAATAGATACAATACATATGTAAAAGAATTGATCATATTTGTTCTGCTTATAAATCAAGAACCGCTGGGCCGATTTTCACATTCCCATCAATTTGGAATGGTCTCTTGCCAGAAAAGGATAAAATCTAAGAAAATTGCGGGAAACCAATACCAATAAAACATTTTTTTCCAAATTTTTTTCCATGTTTGTCATTTTTTTTCCATGTTGTCATTTTTGTAGTCGGAATTTCGCATCGGAAGAGAGTTGAGGACAGAGAAGAAGTCTAGCATTTTGGATGACCATTGTATTATATTTAGCTGTAAAATGGCATTTTGGATGACCATTGGATTATATTTAGCTGTAAAATGGACCACAACTTTCGTGTGCAATTGTTTTGAATACTTCAAAACACTACGGAGTGCGTAAATATTGGCCAAATTCTCCGGGTCAAAAACCTAAGGGCTCTTTGGCATTATTTCAAAAACGAAATCTTCCAAAATGGATTTGAATGTAAAGGGACTTCGAATATATTGTAGTGTTGTAGGGTATCACATGGTCGGCCCCGCACGACTATAGCCTTTACTACTTGTTTTACTACTAAGTTTATAGAGCCCCGAAATATTCGTAAGCCGATCGTATATATTGTTAAGCTGTTTTGAAATTCAACCTACGATTTGTATACCCTCCACAATAGTATGGAGTGTATATTTAGTTTGACATTCCGTTTGTAATACCTTGAAATATACATTTTAGACACAGAGGGTATTATGTATTATATATATTATATATAAACATAAAATTCTCTTTCGATTTAGCGATGTCTGTCCGTTCGTCTTTCGGCCTGTCTGTAGAAATTACTTGAGCATGCGAAATAAATTAAAGAGGTTAATAAAATTTTACTCAAATGTGTGTTCGATCTGCAGGACTTTTGGTATTGAAAGTGTGTTATATAGGTCCACGTTTTGGTATATCCCTCATATAACTGAGGCGACAGTTTTAGGAGTTTTTTGGGAGTTTTAGTCACAATTTTAACCTGAGTTTATTGTAAATTGGCACCATGTGTTCCCATTATGTAAGAAACATCAATATAGGTTCAAGTTTTGGTATAGTCCCCGTATAACTGTGCCTCCATATATTCGGTATTTTGATGATTTGTGTCACACTTTTCAAATATGCGGAAATTTAGAATTTGAAGTTCTTAATGGGTACTACATTTTATGGCAGAAATTTATAGGTCCACGCCTTCTCATAGCCCTCATTTAACCGTATCTTCGCAAATTCGGTATTTTGATGATTTTGGCGACGTTACCTTCCAAGAGCGCTCAGACAGTGCCACGTCTTCGCATAGCCTACATATAAGGGTACCTCCTTACATTTAGTACTTTGATGATTTTAGCGAAATTATCCACCGGAATTCTAATGGATGCTACAGCATATGACTAAAAAAATATTGGGATGAGCATATAATATTTATTTCTAAGTTTATGTATTACAAGGAATCATTATTCTTATTATCATTATATAGCTCATCTCAAGCTCGGTGCTGCATAACCATATTAAACTTTAGATAATACATCACGTGGTGAGATGAAAAAACTGTAACCATCTTCAGACTGCTGTCATTTGTAAGTCAATTGGCCGATAGCTGTTAGAATTATTCCAGTGACAACTCATTATATTGTTTACAAGCGTACAAAAGCATTTTGGTGAGATTTTTCTAGAAAAAAAGTTATTCGTGATGGAATTAAAGCGTGATAGTGTGATTTCTTTATATTTGGCTGGAAAACCACAACCACAAGTGGCTATCGTTAGAGCACGCCAGCATTTAAATGTGAATACATTTTTTGTGTCTCGTACCATCACTCGTTACCGTGATACTGGTTGCGTAGCCCGGCGTCTTGAAAGTGGACGGAAGAAAACAGCAGTATCAGCAGAAATGTTTCGAAAAGTAAAGAAGCGACTTGATCGAAACCCGCGTCGGAGTGGCCAAAAAATGGCTCGTGAGCTGAACATATCGCAATATTCCATTCGGCAAATATTGGAAAATGAGCTCGGGATAAAGCCATTGAAATTCCAAACCGTGGAAGAACTTACACCGCAACAGAAAGAAAATAGACTCAAAAGAGCTAAAGAGTTGCTTAGCTTGGCCGAAAGTGGTGACCTGACGAATTTGGATTTCTCCGATGAGAAAACATTCGTTGTTCAGCAGTTTGTAAACAAACAAAATGAATTTACTTGCCAAAGAGGTCAGCTGAAAATGTGCACCTACGGTTGGCTACCAGAACTCAAACGCCGGTCATGGTGATGGTGTGGGCCGCCATAACAGCCGATGGTCGCTCTCCGTTCGTATTAACCGACCGTGACATCAGAATAAATGCCGAATATTATCGCGAAAACATTTTGGAGGGTGTATTAAAGCCTTGGGTACGCAAACATTTTGCTCGCAGACCTTGAAAATTCCAACAGGACTCGGCACCATCGCACTCAGCACGCGCCACCCAAGAATGGTTACAAAATGAGGTTCTTCGCTTCATTTTCAGCGCACAATGGCCACCAAAATTTCCGTATACCAATACGTGGGACTATTGTGTCTGGAGTATTTTGGAAAACAAGGTTGGCACTTAAAAATACCAAAGTGTCGATCGCCTGATGCAAGCGCATCGCCGAGAACGGGCCAAAATACCGCAGAGCAACATTCGGGCAGCGTGTGACGGTTTCATTGGCCGTTTGAAGGCCATAATTCGTGCCAAAGATGACCAATTCGAGCAAATCTAAAATTATTCTAAAATTTGATGCTATTTTCGACCTTTTTTCATTCAATAAAATTTAAAAAAATGTATACATTATGACGTTTGACTTTTTTGCAGTTTTTTTTATCACACCCTGTATATATTTTTGTGGCAGGCAAAATTTTTACCTAAAGAGGCAAAATAACACATCTTCTTTGAAAACTATTAGCTGGGAGCTTAAAAAATTGACATATTTAAAATGTGGGTTTTTATTCCAACTTAAAAGTTCCAAAAATCAAGAACTGTCGCTGTATTGAGAATATTGCATATAGTGAACTTATTGACATAATATTCTATAGGAAAAGTTAATTGTCCCTACAGAGAACATTTTTTGGAACGGACGCCCTTTATTATCTGAGACCCTGAAATACTAAATTAAAAATAATTTAAAGAATGTGTCTGATATCTTCCTAATACTTCAAATCAGGAGAAATATTTATGCGGGGATTATATCAAATAGTGAATCTAAGATGACACAAACGAGAACTTAAAATACATCTGATACTGCAAACCACTATGTGTCTTTATATAGGGCTATAAATAAAAACATACACCGATATTACCACTTTCCATACCAAATCTCAATCTCATTAATTTACCTTAAATACTGTGATGGTCAGACAGACATCTTCTAATTACGAATATATAAACTTCATATTATTTCCGTCATTTATCCTCGTGAAAGTTAATATATCCCCATAAAATAATTAGGTCCCTATATTGTTTTAAGCAAACCGATAGAAACCGGCTAGGAATGTTATTCAGATCAAGAATAAATGTATTTCAGGGATTGTGTAAATTAATATACCTTCTTCTTTTGTGAAGGAATAATTATTATATTATGACAAATCGCAATATTAATACAATTTCCCATTATAAAATTGTAGACCTCAAAAATTTTACCTTAGGTTATATTTATTTTTAACTAAAACATGCATAATTTTATTATAATCGTTTTTTAATATGAAACTTTCTTAAAATTTATTTTTTGCAAATTCCAAAATATAATATTGTGTGAGAGAATTTACTTTGTTTCACGAAAAAAATATATTTTATGTCGAGCACGTAATCAATGTGAACGCGAAGCAATGACAGTTGTATTCAATTTAATTTATGCAATTTTCGAGTACTACTAAATGCATATAATTACTCGGGTATGACTACAATAACAATAACAGGTACAATTCACTGAAGTGAATAAAATTTTGATGGATGGCTGTCATTTTCGTTTGATAATATATATATATATATATATATATATATATATATATATATATATATATATATATATATATAAAATAAAATCGCACAGGGGATTATAAAATGTTGAAAAATTTAAGAAAGTCTGGTCATTAAGACATTCTGTTAGTAATGAAATATTTAAAAGAACTGACACTGCTGCAAAGCACACGACGAATAAATAGAGTTTTGAACGATACAAGAGTTTTCCGAATACCATATTATCAAATCTTCCTTTAAACATAGTTTTATTTAATTTGGGCATGTGCTATATGGAACACAAAATGTCAAATTAAAGCGAATTTGATTGTAAATAGTGGACGAAACCTTCGAAATAACGAATTTACCGGGGTATATATGGGGGCTATACCAAAAAACGGTATCTCTCTATTATCGCTATTTTGATTATTTTAGTGACATTATTCAACGCAATTGTTTCAAGTTTCGTATTTAAATATCGTAATGGCCTGTGACAAAAATGGCATATACAGATCCACGTCTTAGTAGAGGGTGAAATAAAAAACTACAACAAAGTCAAACGTCTTTATTTTTAATTTTTTTTTAATTTTATTGAATGAAAGCAAAAAAGTCAGAAATAGGGTAAGTGAGCCTAAGTTCGGCATGTCCCAGTAGTCGGCAGTTTTGCAATTTAATCTTGAGTAACTAAGAATAGAATTGACCAAATAATGAAATAATTGCAAAAAAACGTCAACAGTGTTCTCTAATCTCTTTCTGTAAAAAAAAACAATGAGCTGCGATCATTTATTACGAGAGAATAACGGTTTTCGTCAGTTAGAGTCTTCCAACGCGTGCGATAGTGCTTGTTTGTAAAGAAAAAATAGTGGTGGCGTCAACTTAATAATCGATTTAAGTAAATTAAATTTAATACTTTTGGAATCAAAAATATTTTATAATAGTAAATAACAGTCTAAAGATCATTTTATAACTTAAAAAACATACAAATCAAGCATTTTTCTGTTATATTATTTAATGCCGACCTTAGGAACAGAAATAAAGAGATTTGCCAGGGGGTGCCGATTACTAGAAAAATATCATTTTTGACCAATTTCATCAAAACTTGAGAAAAGTATTAAAAAATAATCAAAAAACTATTCAAATAAAAAAAATAGTTTTGAGCAGTCAATTGCTTTTATTTGAGGTTTTTGGCCAACTTTTCTAAATTAAGTAGGTTTTTTAAATCAGCTATTTGACGTTTTAGATAGATAGATAAAAAAATGTTGGCTATCTAAAGGAGAAAGATCAATTCACAAATTCCAAATATAAGAATGGTACTTTTTTCTTTTTTTATTTATTTTAATTGAAAATCTATACGTTACTGTAGGTAACTATACTATTCTTAATTTTCTACCACTATTTGGTTTAGAAGATAAATAAATAAAACACTATTTAAAAACGAAATTAATTTCAAATTCTGGATTAAACTATGAATTAGTAATATAGCATTTTTTATACTATTTGAAATAAAAAAACATACAAAATAATGTTTTTTTGCTGAAATATCATATGCCGACTACTGGCATTGGAAAATGGTGCCGACTACTGACAAAAAACTACTATTTTGGTAAAAATGCATATTTTGCCAATTTAATAAAAACAAATTCAATTTTTGTTTTTTATTTGGAAAACTAACCAAAATTTGAATCTGAACAACTTTATTTTTTAGCAATTGAAAGATTTCACTCAGAATGTTGAAAGATTGAAAAATCGAAAATCCTAAAAGTGCCGACTACTGGTACACTTACCCTATTAAATTTTAGAATAAGTATGGATTTGTTCGAATTGGTCACTTTTGCCACGAATTATGGTCTTCAAACGGCCAAAACGGTGCACATTTTCAGCTGACCTCGTTGGCAAGTAAACATCATAATTTTGTTTTTTACAAACTGCTGGACAACGAATGTTTCCTCATCGGAGAAAACCAAATTCAGCAGTTCACCACTTTCGGCCAAGCGAAGCAACTCTTTAGCTCTTTTGAGTCTATTTTCTTTCTGTTGCGGTGTAAATTCTTGCACTTTTTGGAATTTCAATGGCTTTAGCCCGACCTTATTGTTCAATATTTGCCGAATTGAATATTGCGATATGATCAGCTCACGAGCAATTTTTCGGCCATTGCGACGGGGGTTTCGATCAAGTCGCCTCTTTACTTTTTGAACCATTTCTGCAGATGTTGCTGTTTTCTTCCGTCCACTTCCTTGACGTCGGGCTACGCTACCAGTATCACCAGTTGGTTGTAGTTTTTTTCATCTCACCCTGTATAAGACAAATTATTTTCTTGAAAATTTTGACCTCTTGAGGGAGTTGACAGAACTCGATGTAAGTTTGATAATAATATTACGATGTGCCAAGTTTGGATAAAATCGGATACTTTCTTGGAGAGTTATCAGGCGCACCAGCCAGACACACGGACGAACGGACATCCCTAAATCGACTCCATATACCATCTGTTGCCCTATAGCTGTGGGTATAAAAATGTTTTTGCTCGAAATGACAGTTCAACTCCACCATCCGGCGAACTAGTAACATGAGTTAAAGCAAAATTTTAATATAAAAATCGGGTTTAAACAAACGATTTTTTTTGATGATTTTTGTTTTTGTAGCCTAAGTTTAAATAGTTTCAAAAATTCAAGTTCCTAAAACGTACTGTCATGAACGGCATTCAAACGAGTTGAATTCTGCCACACATGCCCTCTTTTTTGTGTTATGTCAAACCACTGTGCCTTGTCTAATTCCAGGTGATGATCATTCATCTGGCATGACATTACAAGGCAGAGGGGTTTGATGACATGTTAGAGGCAGCACCCGTTAGATATTTGTATTATCGTAATTTGTGTATTGCTTCAGTACGACTTAAAAGCTACTGGGAAAACGTTTATTCGGATCAAAATAAAATAAATCACAAAAAATGACAACAAATACTGCGGTCATACCATCCTGGGTACGCTCGGAACTTTTCGAAAAAATTCTCACAGAAAATGTTAAAGATTTTCGGCGAATAGAAAATTTCAAAATATGTCCGGCATTGGCACCTGGAGAGAATTATGCCACTGTTATGTTAAAAGTTCATATCAATTGTCTACTGGCAACAGGCCAAATCGAGAAGATCACATTCATGTTGAAGGTTCCACACGATAATGAACTATATCGAAACGAGCTGATAAAATGGGATATGTTTGCCACCGAACACGGAATGTATAGGGAAATTGTACCGGAATTTGAAAATCTCTTTCGGCAGAGAGGTATTGAAGTGCGTTTTGGTGCCACGGCCTACGAATTGCCTGTTAAAGAGGAATATATTCTTTTAGAGGACTTAACACGCCGCGGCTTTCGTAATGTCCAAAGGCAAAATTGTTTAGATGTAGAACATTGTAGAGGAGTTTTGAAGAAGCTGGCACAATTTCATGCCGCCTCTGCTGTTTGGGTGGAACACAATGGACCCTTTCCCAAAATATATCAACCTGGTATGATACGCAAAGAGAGTATGACGTTGTTGAAACCCATGCTAATCAGTAGCTTGGAACATGTCCTCAAAGCTGTGAAACATTTAGAAAATGCCGATAAATATCATGAGAAGTTACAATATTTTGGCGAACATCTGGAAGAGGCTTTATTCCAGCAGGGTGCGAAAAATGAACATGATTTTCTAGTACTCAATCATGGTGACTGTTGGGCCAATAATATAATGTTTCAATACAACCCAACGGGAGAATTGCAGGAAACCTATTTTGTAGATCTACAGCTGCCGGCATATGGAACTCCGGCTCAGGATTTGTTATATTTTCTCATTTCCTCAGCCCAATTGGATTTGAAAGTCAATCATTTTGATGAAATGGTCCGATATTATTACGACAATTTAATAGAAAATTTGAAAATTTTGGAATATGGAAAATCCTTGCCTCGTCTACGTGATTTACATCAAATGTTGCTCAGGGGCAGTATTTGGGGTAGGTCAAGAAATGCCAATACTTAAATTGTTTATCTGAAAATCATATTTCCTCTTTTATTTCCAGGCATTATAGCTTTGCTCGTTACAATGGCCGCGGTCTTGTGCGAATCGACCAATGAAGCTTCCATTGATAATTTAACTAATGATACGCCAGAGAGCCAAAAATTCAAAGAGCTACTCTATACCAATGAACGTTTTCTCCAACACTTGAATGCCGTCCTCCCTTGGCTATTCGACAGAGGGGCATTTGATATTTGACATCGTTCAAGTGTTTGGCAAATAAATGGCAATAATTAAGTAATTTTGCTAGAGAAATGTTGTTATTAAATATATAATTATCAGAGCGTTCGGAGTGATGGTAATATAAGTGTATCACGCCATTAAAATATTAATCAAAATAAATGTTTAAATAATTAAAAATATTAAAGGGGACAATGACATTTTTTATTCCCATCACCATATATAGTACGGAGGGTTACAGGGTGTAAAAGGACGAGAAAAGAATACGACCGAATGGTTTGGCTGTTGATTCAGTTCTGATTTTATTTCTATAATATGTTCCTTACGTACTACTGAAACTAATCTAACTTAAGCTAGTCGCAGCCACAAAATTATTCTTTTCTATTCTAATACTGAATGGAGAACATTGCAGGGCTGCTTGTCATTTCATTCAAATGGTCTTGTGCATCTACTGAGCGCATTGATATCTGTGTGTGTGGGTCATAGCCTTTATTATCTCACACATTATCGTATGCGTCAGCGCACAAGATCACCGAATTTTTCACTGTGGTGTCTTATGGCGGCTGGGAAACATGTAATTTTAGAATATTTATTGTTTATTGCTAGATTTTCCCAGCGCCTTAACCGCACTCAAAAATATGTACAAAGTATTTTGTACACAGGGTGAGATGAAAAAACTGCAACCAACTTCAGACTGCTGTCATTTCTGAGCCACTCGTCCGACAGCTGTTAAAATTATTCCAGTGACAGCTCATTATATTGTTTACAAGCGTTCAAAAGCATTTTGGTGAAAATTTTCCAGAAAAAAGTTAATACTAATGAGATTCATGCGGGATATTGTGATTTCTTTATATTTGGCTGGAAAACCACAAGTGGCTATAGTTAGAGCACTCCAGCATTTAAATGTAAATAAATCTTTTGTGTCTCGTACCATTGCTCGTTACCGTGATACTGGTAGCGTAGCCCGACGTCAAGGACGTGGATGGAAGAAAACAGCAACATCAGCAGAAATGGTTCGAAAAATAAAGAAACGACCTGATCGAAACCCGCGTCACAGAGGCCGAAAAATGGAACGTGAGCTGAACATATCGCAATATTCCATTAGCAAATATTGAAAAATGAGCTCGGGTTAAATCCATTGAAATTCCAAAATATTCTTTGTCCAGCAGTTTGTAAACAAATAATATGACCGTGTTTACTTGCCAAAGAGGTCAGCTGAAAAAGCGCCGGCCATGGTGATGGTGTGGGCCGCCATAACAGCTGAGGGTCTCTCGCCGCTCATATTATTCGACCGTGGCATCAGAATAAATGCCGAATATTATCATGAAAATATTCTGAAGGGTGTATTAAAGCCTTGGGCACGCAAACATTTTGGCCCTAGACCTTGGACATTCCAACAGGACTCAGCACCATCGCACTCAGCACGCGCCATCCAAGAATGGTTACAAAATGAGGTTCCTCGCTTCATTTCCAGAGCACAATGGCCACCAAAATCTCGGTATAACAATCGGTTCGACTATTGTGTCTGGAGTATTTTGGAAAGCAAGGTTGGCACTAAAAAATACCAAAGTGTCGATCACCCTAAGCAAGCGCTTCGCCGGATATGGGTCAAAATACCACAGAGCAACATTCGAGCAGCGTGTGACGGTTTCATTGGCCGTTTGAAGGCCATACTTCGTGCCAAAGGTGACCTATTCGAACAAATCTAAACTTATTCTAAAATTTTATGCTATTTCTAATATTTTTTGCTTTTTAACTCTCCACCATACTATGGAGGGTATATTAACTTTGTCATTCCGTTTGTAACTCCTCGAAATACTCACGTCAGACCCAACAAAGTATATATATTCTTGATCAGCGTAAAATTCTAAGTCGATTTAGCGATGTCCGTCTGTTTGTTGTAATCACGCTATCTTTCGAATGAATTGAGATAGATGGCTAAAATTTTGCACACATGTAGGAACCAGTAGGCAGGTTAAGTTCGTAAATGGGCCATGTAGGTCCACATTTTCATATAGCCTCCATATAAAGGTACCACCCGATATTCGGTATTTTCATGATTTTAGCGACATTATTCAGAGGAATTGTTTCGAATTTGGTATTTGAAGTTCGAAATGGATATTACACCCTAAGAAAGAAAATTGTCTGTGTAAGTCCACGTCTTCGCATAGCTCCCATATAACGGCACCTCCCGATATTCTGTATTTTTATGATTTTAGCGATATTATTCACCGGAATTGCTTCAAATTTGGTATTTAAAGTTGGAAATGGATTCTACACAGACATAAAATTGTCTGCGCAAGTCCACGTCTTCGTATAGCCCCCATATAACGGTACCTCCCTATATCCGGTATTTTGATGATTTTATCGTCATTATTCACCAGACTTGTTTCAAGTTACGTGTTTGGAGTTCGTTATGAGGACTACAGTCTGTGACAAAAAATTGTCTATGCAGGTCCAGGTCTTCGTATAGGCCCCATATATCAGTACCTTCAGATATTCGGTATTTTGACGATTTTAGGTACAATACCCATCGAAATTGTTTGAGATGTTGTATTTGAAGTTCGTAATGGATGCTACAGCCTGTGACAGAAAATTGTCTATGCTGATCCAGGTCTTCGCACAGCTCCAATTTAACGGCACCTCCTTATATACTCGGATTTGGACAATTTTTGGAACAATATTCACCGAAATTATTTGAAATATCGTATTTATAGTTCCTAATAGGTACTACAGCCTGTGACAGAACAATGCCTCCCTATATTCGGTATTTTTATGGATTTTTTTCTAGTTTCGTAGTTGAATATTGTAATGGCTTATGACAAAATTTGCATGTCTTCATATAGACCCAAATATTACGGCTATATTCAGTATTTTTAAAAGAAATTTTAACGGATTTTTTTTAAATTTCCGAATTCTTTTCAAATGGTGGAGGCTATTCAAAGAACTTAGTGCTCGTTTACTTGTTATTAAAACAATTTAGAACATTTTCAGTGATTCAATACGGGGTTGGATGTGACCCTGGACCTTCTCCAGGTGTTATATATGTAAATGAACTGAAGACGGCGAGATATAAATCAAGTTCTCCATCATTCTTATCGGACATATTTTCAATTGAAATCTCAAGAGGCATATCAAATTGCACTTAACACGCCTTCTCTCATTATCTATGCTTACTCTATATGCAATGAAAATACCTCGTCTTTCCATTTATTCTATATCTGATATACCTCAGAGGTATCCACTGTGAATATAACAGACCTGAACCTTTTAAGTGTGGTCTTTATTGCTACAAATATTTTCAATTCATTTTATTAAGACAATAATTTATACCATCATGATTCGAAGGCGCCCCTTCGGTAAAGCCACGGCAACAGCACCTCCAAATGCTTCATATATCTTTCATTTGAATAAAGCATCTCCTTAAACTTTTCCGATTCTTCTGAATCGCCAACAAAATTTTCTATATTTGCCACCTCGGTAGGGTCACATAGAACAGCGGACATGATGCAGCAAGTTGTGACAACGCCTACAAGGAAAATATACCAATTTTATAAGTATTTCGAAACATATTAGTCAAACTTACCCCACAGTCCATATCTAATCAACGACCCATGTATATCTCTCAAATTTGGCAGCGGTTTAGAGTAATCCAACAATTTGAGGTTTTCAATTAAATTTTCATAATAATGATGAATCAATTCATCAAAATGATTAACTTTCAAATCAACTTGTGTTGATGACAAAATGAAATAGAGTAAATCCTGGGCAACGGTGCCGTATCGTGGCATTTGTAAATCCACAAAATAAGTTTCCAACGGTTGGTTCTTTCCATCGCTATTACCGTCATCGTATTGAAACATAATATTGTTACACCAAAAATCTCCATGATTCAAGGCCAGAAATTCATCGCTATTCCTCTGCGGAATTAGCTGGGAAAATACCGCATCCGTTAAATGTCCGAACAGAGTCTCCATTTGTCCATAGTACTCTTCATGATTGGGTAGTTTTCTGGCAGCAGCCAAAACATGTTTGAGAGTACCGCTAAACATTTGATCGCAAATTTCTCGCGAATCCTCAGTGAGAAAACCATGTAAATACTGCTCATCGTAGGGACCCTTTTCCACAACTCGTACAGCTGAGGCTGCATGCCATTGGGCGAGCTTTCGTAGAACACATTTTGCATGCACCATATCTAAACAATTTTGTCTCTTAACATTTCGAAATCCCTTTTCCGCCAAATCTTCCAGAAGTATGTACTCCTGATCTACCGGTAATTTAAAGTATTTCGCCCCGAAATGTACCTCCACATCCTTCTTCTTATACATCTCTTCTAGCTCCGGCACAATATCGCGATACATACCAGCCTCCTTTTTAAACATTTCCCATTTGGACATTTGTTCGCGATATATTTTATTATCCAGTGCGACCTTCATCATAAAGCTTTTGTTTTTGTAACTATCATCTGGCAACAGAACTTTAGTGCGAACCCTCAACATTAGGGTGGCAAAATTTTCTCCTGGTCCCAAAGCATTTGCAACTTGAAAGTTTTCAATTGATTTGTAGTTTCCAACGGCTTCGCGTAAAACATTTTCAAACAGTTTCGAATTGATCCATGATGGAATGTTGTTGTTGTCGTTGTTATTTTGATTTGCCATTTGTTTGAAAACAAGCTAATAGCTTTGGAACGACACAGTTCTGTAGTTGTTTACGGAAGAGTATTGGTCACGATACTGAGACTATCTATAAAACGATGTGAATAGCTTAGCTATACTGTGATGAAATACTAAACAAATGTATACGTTGAAAAAGTTTTTAACAATGCTCTCCATTCTAAATGTTATCAATCCAGGGTTGCCAGCCTAATATTTAAAAAATATTTGTTTGATTCTCAGCGCAGGTAGAGGCTTGATTTGCCTTAATAAATCTTTGGATAATTAATTTAATACTTGTTATATACATATATGATATATTATATACATATGATCTTTGCTAGTAGTTTTAATCATTTTTATTTTATTGCGTTTATCTTCATTCTATGTGAGCTCATACACAATACCTATAAAATCTCCAAGTACAGAAATTAATAAAATCTGACTGTACGATACCCTACACCACTATGTATATTTTGAAGAGCTATCAGTAACAAATAAACGTTTATTTTGAGAATTTTTTTTATTTTTTAGATCGGATGAAACATACATATATTAACTATATCAATGGAGATCAGACGTTAAGTCGTTACAAACAAAAGCACACAGTCAATATAACATGTACACACATCATGGTGCATGATATAAAGAAAGAAAACTAATATTCAGTTTTGAAGAAATAATTAAAAATAAAGAAATCGTCTTAAATCGACGAATTCTAATCTTGTGCTGGATTTTTTCATATAAAAACAATTAAAAAAGATGTAAGTTCAACCGGACTGAACTTTGAATACCATCCACCATTTGCAACGAATTTTTGCAATTAAAAAAAAAAAAAAAGAAAATCGGTTAAAAATTCTGTTAAAATCTTAAAAATACCGAATGTAGCCGTTATACTAGGGTCTATACGACGATGTTGACCTGTATAGTTAACTTTTGTCATAAGCTATTACAATACTCAAATGCGAAACATGAACAAGTTAAAAAGCAGTAATTTCGGCGAGGCCAAACTTTGAATACTCTCCACCATTTAGAACGAATTTGGAAATTTTAAAAAATAAAATCCTTAAAAAATTCTGTTGAATTTTAAAAATACCGAATATTGCCGTTATATTGGGGTCTATACGACGTGGACCTACATAGACATTGTTTGCCATTAGCCATTACCATATTCAAATTCGAAACTTGAAATAAACGGTGAATAATGTGGCTAAAATCATCAAAATATCGTATATAGGGAGGTACCATTATATGGGAGCTGTGCGAAGACTTGGACCAGGATAGACAAATTTCTGTCACAGGCTATAGCATCCACTACTAACGTCAAATACGACATCTCAAACAATTTCGGTGGGTATTGTACCTAAACTCGTCAAAATGCCGAATATAGGGAGGTAATGATATATAGGGCCTACACGAAGACCTGGACCTGCATACACATTTTTCTGTCACAGACTTTAGTTCCCATTACGAACTCTAAATACGTTATTTGAAACAATTCCGGTGAATAATGGCGCTAACATCATCAAAATATCGTATATAGGGAGGTACCGTTATATGGGGGCTATACGAAGGCCTGGACCTTAGAATTTTACGCTGATCAAGAATATATATACTTTGTTGGGTCTGACTTGAGTATTTCGAGGAGTTACAAACGGAATGTCAAAGTTAATATATCCTCCATAGTATGATGGAGGGTATAAAAAATCGGTTAATAATGTAGCCAAAATCATCAAAATACCGAATATAGTGAGGTACCGTTATATGGGGGGCTATACGAAGGCGTGGAACTGTACAGATAATTTTCTGTCATTGGCTGTAGTATCCATTATGAACTTCAAATAAATCACCAAAATACCGAAATAGGGAGGTACCATTATACAGGGTAAGATAAAAAACTGCAACAAAGTCAAACGACATAATTTTTATACCCTGTACCATAGCAATGTCCGTCCGTCTGTGGAAATTACTCTAGCTTCGAACAAATTGAAGTAGTTTGATAAAATTTTACTCAAATGTATATTATGTCTGCAGGACTTTTGGTATGGAAAATGGGCCATGTAGGTCATGTTTTGGTATAGCCCCAATATAATGGTACCCCCGATATTCGGTACCTCCCGATATTCGGTAATTTGATGATTTTAGCTACGTTGTTACCGATCTTTTTAAGTTTTGCATTTGAATATTGTAATGGCTTATGACAAATGTTACCTATGCAGGTCCATGTGGTCGTATAGACCCTAATATAACAGCTACATTCGGCATTCTTAAGATTTTAATTGAATTTTTCGAAATTCGTTCCAAATGGTGGAGGGTATTCAAAGTTCGGCCCGGCCGTCTGCAGGATTTTTGGTATTGAAAATGGGCTATGTAGGTCCACGTCTTCGTATAGCCCCCATATAACGTTACCCCCATATTCGGTACTTGGATGATTTTAGCGACATTATTTTCCGGAATTGTTTCAAATTTGGTATTTTAAGTTCGTAATGGATACTGCAGCATATGGCAGAAAATTGTCTGTGCAGGTCCACGTATTGTACCTTCCTATATTCGTTAGTTTATTTATTTAACTACATTATAAACAGATTTGTTAAGCATTTGAATATTATAACAGCTTATGACAAAAGTTGCCTATGCAGGTCCAGGTCGTCGTATAGACCCTAATATACGGCTACATTCGGTATTTTTAAAATTTTAACAGAATTTTTAATTGATTTTATTTTCTTTGAAAATTGCCAAATTTGTGGAGGGTATTTAAAGTGCGGCCCCGCCGAACATACAACTTTCTTATTTGTTATTATTTTATTTTATCCTATGTAATTGTTTTTGTAAACTAAATTTAAAATTGTTAAAAAAATTATTTCGTGAAAATTTGTAGCAAACATCTAAATGAGTTTCACAAATATATGGTGAGTATGAGCACAAATATTATTTATATTACAAAGATTTCTAAATGAACAATTATATTTGTAATTACACTTCTTTATAGTTCACATTCAAGGGTCTAAAACACCTCTGTTATGTAGCCAGGGTAAAATTATTTCCAAATGTTTTAGATAACGGTCATTAAAATACAACAGCTGTTTAAATTTATCTCCATCTTCGGAATTTCCAATAAAATTTTCCATGCTGGCAACATCGGTGGGATCACACAAGACACCGGACATAATGCAACACATGGTAAGGAGGGCTACAATATTCGAAACATTCCATTAAAAATCGATAATAGAAAATGTAACACATTCGAACTTACCCCAAACACTTTGTTTCAGCAGGGACTGATGGATACCCCTCAAAGTTGGCATTGGCTTAGAATATTCCAAAATTTTCAAATGTTCAATTAATTGTTCATGATAATAACGAATCAGCTCATCAAAACAATTAACTTTTATTTCCAACTTGGTTGAGGACAGCAGAAAATAATACAAATCCTGGGCCACCGAACCGTAGCGAGGCATTTGATAGTCCACGAAATAGGTTTCTTGCAACTGATTTTCCTCATTGTATTGAAACATGATGTTGTTACACCAAAAATCTCCATGATTGAGGACTTTAAATTCTCCATCATGCGGATTTTCAATTATTTCTTCGGTGAGATATTGATTTAAATTTCTTAACTTATTTTCAAATTTTCCATAATACTCCTCGTGATGGGGTAGTTTACGTATGACAGCCAAGATATAGGGTATCATACCATCAAACACATCCTCGGTGGATTTCATGTAGCTGCCATTAAAGAAGCCATCCATATAGATTTTGTCATAGCTTCCCCTCTCGGCCACCCTTACAGCGGAGGCGGCATGCCACTGAGCTAACTTTTTGAGAACAGCCTTGGCATGCTCTTTATCCAAACCATTCTGACGTTTGACATTACGAAAACCACTTGTTGAAAGATCTTCCAAGAGAAGATATTCTTCATTAGCAACAGGTAAGTTATACAGCTTGGCACCGAAACGTATATTAACACCTTTATTCCGATAGAATTCCTCAAACTCTGGCACCACATCACGATACATGCCCAATTCGGTCTTAAAGAGTTCTAATTTTGACATTTGCTCACGATACATTTGACTGTCCCGAGCTATTTTTAGCATAAATGTTTGTTCTCTACTGGAATCATCTGGAAGCACCAGCTCCAGTTTCACCCTCAGCATTATGGTGGCATAATTCTCGCCCGGTCCTAGAGCGTTACAAACCACAAAATTTTGAATTCTTTTATAATCTCCTACAGCCTCTTTGATGACATTTTCAAATAATTCCGCTTTAATCCATGCTGGCAATTTATTCGGGATATCCATTGTCTTTTTATTGAAACGGAGAAAAATAATGCACCTCTAAACTATTGCAATTAGCGATTAATACTGAAAACCACATAAGGTTATTGAAGTATTAACTATTTTGTTTTTAGAATAGCTGAATAAAATTACAGCCGGTTTTCATGACTGCATTCAGCAGTAATTCTCACAATAATTCATTGCATCTACACAGCTTTGCTGTGGAGATCGCCAACAGATACATACTTTAATTAATTCCAAATCGTGTCAAATGGTGGAAGTAACTTATGTAAAAAACAATATTTCAAGAGCATAGAGAGATATATAATTATTAGGGTGGGTCAATATGTATGAAGTATAAGCAGGTAAAACAGCAGGTAAGTTCGGCCGGACCGAACTTTTAATTCTCTCCACTATTTGGAAGGACCTTGAACATTTCAAAAAAAAAAAAAAAAAATCCGGAAACTACAACTTAAATGAAAACTATTGTATGGAGACTTTAGGAAGACGTGGACCTGCACAGACAATTTTCTGTCTTAGGCTGTACTATCCATTAAGAATTTCAAATGCCAAATTTGAACCAATTCCGATGAATAACGTCGCTAAAATCATCAAAATATAAAATGTGAACCTACATACGAATTTTTTGTCATAGGCTGTAGTACCCATTAAAAACTTTAATTTAATACCGAATATTGGGAGCTACCGTTATATGGAGATTATACGAAGACGTAAACCTGTATACAAAATTTTTCCGGTAAAAAATGTCGTTGAAATCATGAAAATATCGAATATCGGGAGGTACCGTTATATGGAAGCTATATGAAAACGTGCACCGACGTGGCTCATTTACGAACTTAACCTGCCTACTGGTTAATCAACTTCAGACTGCTGTAATTTCTAAGACACTCGTTCGACAGCTGTTACAATTATTCCAGTGACAGCTCATTATATTGTTTACAAGCGTAAAAAAACATTTTGGTGAGGATTTTCCAGAAAAAAAGTTATTCATGATGGAATTCAAGCGTGATAGTGTGATTTCTTTATATTTATTTGACTGGAAACCACAAGTGGGTATCGTTAGAGCACTCCAGCATTAAAATGTGAATAAATCTTTTGTGTCTCGTACCATCGCTTGTACCTTGATACTTGTAGCGTAGCCCGACGTCAAGGAAGTGGACGGAAGAAAATAGCATCAAACAACATCAGCAAAAATGGTTCGAAGAGAAAACATTCGTTGTCCAGCAGTTTAAAACAAACAAAACGATCCTGCTTACTTGGCAAAGAGGTCAGCTGAAACTGTGCACCTTCGGTTGGCCAACAGAACACAAGGTGTGGGCCGCCATAACGACCGTGACATCAAAATAAATGCCGAATATTATCGCGAAATTATTCTGGAGGGTGCATTAAAGCCTTAGGCACGCAAATTTTTTTTCCGCAGACCTTGCACATTCCAACAGGACTCAGCACGCGCCACTCAAAAATGGTTGCAAAATGAGGATCCTCGCTTCATTTCCAGCATCACCATTGATGCTGGATGATCATTTCATTGATCGCCAAAATCTCCGGATACTAATCTCTTGGACTACTGTGTCTGGAGTATTTTGGAAAGAAAGGTTGGCACTAAAAAATACCAATGTGTTGAACAACTCAAGCAAGCGCTTCGCCGGGGAAGGGGCCAAATACCGCAGAGCAACATTAGGCAGCGTGTGATGGTTTCATTGGCCGTTTGAAGGTCATAATTCGTGCCAAAGGCGATCAATTCCAACAAATCTAAACTTATTCTACAATTTGATGCTATTTCCGACATTTGTTGTTGTTACTCAAGAAAAATTAAAAAAAACCAGTAAAAAAAGCTGTAAGTTCGGCCGGCCCGAACTTTGAATATTTGGTACAGATTTGGCAATTCTGTTAAAAATTCTGTTAAAATCTTAAAAATACCGAATGTAGCCGTATATTAGGGTCTGTACGACGACATGGACCTGCATATGCAACTTTTGTTGCAAGTTATTACAACATTCAAATGCGAAACTTGAAAAAATCTGTTTATAATGTAGCTAAAATCATCAAAATTCGGAATATAAGGAGGAACCATGGGAGTTGTAAAACGTGGACCATATGGGGGCTATACGAACAAGTGGACCTACATGGCCCATTTTCTGTTTTATGCTGTAGTATCTATTACGAACTTCAAATACCAAATTTGAAACAATTCTGGTAAATAATGTCGCTAAAATCATCAGAATATCGAATATCGGAGGGTGGGTACCGTTATATGGGGGCTATTAGAAGACGTGGACCTACATGGTCCACTCACTTCCAAAAGTCCTGCAGACATAATACACATTTGAGTACTTCATTTCGTTCGGAGGCTAGAGTGATTTCCACAGACGGACACACGGATAGACGGGCAGACGGACGGACATTGATAAATCGACATAGAATTTCATGCTGATCAAGAATATATATACTTTGTGGGGTCTAAAATGTATATTTCGAGGTGTTACAAACGGAATGACAAACTAAATATATCCTCCATACTATGGTGGAGGGTATAAAAATGTAAAAATTATGGCGTTTGACTTTGTTGCAGTGTTTTTTATCTCACCCTGTATATGTACCAGATTTGGGATATATCGACTACTCCATTCACCCTTACATTAAAAATTTGATAAGTTTTGGGAAAATAGGAAATGTGTGTGAGGTACCAGATATAGTGGACCGAAGTATTCGACTTCATACAATACTTAAAACAGTATTGAGACGAGCATCTAATAATAATTCAAAATTATGACCCTTTACATGGGAGGTACATTGGGTAGTAAACCGAAATTGTCCATTCTCGCACCTGACACTGATACAAATATTGGGATTTCCAAAATTTGAACAAAATTGGATGATCCGTTCCTGTTGTATACGGAAAATTATTTTCTGTAAAAAAGGAAATATATTGCCCATCTCCAAAATCGATTCAAATTTGACATTAAATAACTCCGTTATATGGGGACTACAACCAAACGGGAACTTACATAACCAAATGTCTGCTGCAGCGGTTGATATATAGATAATATTCCGCCGCTAGAGGTAGAACCCATTACGAACTCTAAGTACCGAATTTAAAACAATACCATTAGAAAATGTGGTTCTAGTCGTAAAAATAGCGAATATCGGGAGGTATCGCTATGTGGAGGTTATAAATACTTGACTTACCTACTGACAAACTAAGTTTTTGCGCAAAATTTATACTTTCGATCTCAATTCCATCAACCGTAAGCATGATTATAAAACAGACTGATAGACATTGCTAAAAGGATTCAGAATTAAAAGCTGATCAAAAATATATATGGAGAATGGCAATTTTTATATAACATCCATCCATAATATCATGGGAGGTATACAAATTATAAAAAAAATGTCAGGTCTAGAGTTACAGAAATAATCATAATCTCTATGTGGCGAATGTTTAAATTTATTTTTAAAATTGTGTACGTTTTAATGCTACTTAAAATCTCTTAAAAAGCTTTAATGAGAACTGCTTTCAGCATTTCACAATACTCGAGTGCACTCATTAAAGTAAAAGCTCTCTTATTTGTAAATAATTGTTTGTCTACATTCAGAACTTTCAGTGCAGCTTTTTTATCGCTTTTAGTTGTTAACTGATTTGTGAGTATTGGCCAGCATTGTTAAGAACTTCAGTTTTGCTGACAGTTGTTATTTACCCGACCACAATGTCTGCTGCAAACATTCCACAGTGGATAGAAGCTAAACTCTTCGAAAAGGTTTTATATGAATGTGGAAAAAATGTTAAGGAAATCTACAACTTTCTAGTGTTTCCTGCCTTGGCACCTGGTGAAAATTATGCATCCACAATGTTAAAGGTGCGCATGGATTTAAAACTCGAAAATGGCTGCGACGATAGCCAAAGTTTCATGTTAAAGGTGCCAAATAAAAATCAACATTTACAAGACCAATGGGATGCATGGCAGCTCTTTGAAACCGAAACACAAATGTATGCAGAAATTATTCCCCGTTTTGAGGAGGCTTATCGGAATGTGGGCGTGGAAGTTCGATTTGGTGCGGAATCGTATAAATTGAATGTGAAAGAAAGATATATCTTACTGGAGGACTTATCGCGAAAAGGTTTTAAGACCCTCAAACGACAAAATGGTCTCGATATGGAACACTGTAAGAGTGTCTTACGAAAAATGGCACAGTGGCATGCTGCATCGGCTGTCTGTAAAGACCTTCATCCAATCATGTCCACCAAGAGAGGAGTATTAAATGAAAATGCCAAAGAATTATTGGATAAAATGTTTAACGATGCCTTTAAAAATACTCTGAAAACAATAAAGAAATTACCTCACTACGAGGAGTATTATGGGAAATTGGAAAATTTAAGTCAGGATTTTTCTGAAAAAATACGTTGCATATATCGGGTGGATAACAAGGAGTTTAATGTCTTGAACCATGGCGACTGTTGGTCTAACAATATCATGTTCCACTATGATGCCGAGGGTAGTTTGAGCTCGACCTATTTTGTGGATTTCCAAGTAACAATCTATGGTTCACCGGCATTGGATTTATATTATTTTATATTCTCCTCTGCCAAACTGGAATTAAAAGTAAAGCATTTCGATGAAATGATTCAATATTACCATGAGAATTTAGTTGAGAATTTAGCATTGCTGAAATATGAAGAAGAACTACCCTCCCTGAAGAAAATTCATCAAATGTTATTGACATATGGAATTTTAGGTTTGTATCCGATTTAATTTTAATTAACATTTTATTATTTTATAATTTTGAAAAATTTTTAGGTATCTTCACGTGCAGCACTATCATGGCGGGAGTGTTGTGTGAACCCACCGATTTAGCCAATATTGATCATTTGACTGGCGAATCTGCAGCTGCAGAAGAATTTAAAAACTTAATGTTTTCAAATGAGAGATTTGTGAAACATTTAAGCGTGATTGTACCATGGCTGAATGCAAGAGGTGCATTTGAGTACTGAAATTCTATCAAATAAAATCATTACTAGTCTTGACAAACTCGGCTTTAATTTGGTTAATGTAGTATATTCTTAATTATAAGTTTAGGAAAAGGCTTATATTTCATCTCGCAGAGCCCTTTACATCCTTCACAGAAAAAAAGAAAAAGTCAAAAGTCGGGCGGGGCCGACTATATGCTCCGTAATAAAAAAAGCTCCCGAAATAAAATAATTTATTTGAAGTAGATCATACCACCTATCAACCTTTGGCATTAGAGCACTTATAATTTGGTTTCAGGGGGAACTTATATGTGGGAGGCATATCCAATTCTGAATCGATTTTCACTAAATTTGACGGAAACATTTTATTCTTGTATACCAAATAACATTGCTGTAGAGAGCATGATATCACTTAGAGAAGGACTATGTAAACAAGTAAAAAAGCTGTAAGTTCAACCAGCCAAATTTGGCAATTTAAAAAAAAATCCGTTAAAAATTCTGTTTAAATCTTAAAAATACCGAATGAAGCCGTATATTAGGGTCCACACGACGACGTGGACCTGCATAGGCAACTTTTGTCATAAGCTATTACAATATCAAATGCGAAACTTGAAAAAAAATCTGTTCATAATGTAGCTAATATCATCAAAATACCGAATATAGGGAGGTACCATTGGGGTTATAAAATGTAGACCTGCACAGACTATTTTCTGGCATAGGCTGTAGTATCTATTACGAACTTCATATACCAAATTCGAAACAATTCCGGTAAATTATGTCGTTTAAATCACCAAAATATCGAATAACGGAGGGTGCCGTTATATGGGGACTATAAGAAGACGTGGGCCTGCACAGATAATTTTCTGTCATAGGCTGTAGTATCCATTACGAACTTCTAATACCAATTTTGAAACATTTTCCGTAAATAATGTCGCTTAAATCACCAAAATACCGAAAATAGGGAGGTACCATTGTATGGGGGCTATACGTGGACCTAAATGGCCCATTTTCAATACCAGACATTTCTTGCAGACATAACATATATTTGAGTAAATTTTTATCAACTTACTTCATTTCGTTCGGAAGGTAGAGTGATGATGCCACAGACGGGCATCGCTAAACCGACATAGAATTTTATGCTGATCAATAATATATATTTCTGGGGTCTAAAATATATATTTCGAGGTGTTACAAACGGAATGACAAACTTAATCCTCGATACAAATGGCTGAGATAAAAAATCAAAGTCAAACGAAATAATTTTTACATTTTTTTTTAAATATTTTTAAATGAACGCAAAAAATGTCGGAAAAAGCATCATTTTTTAGAATAAGTTTAGATTTGTTCGAATTGGTCACCTTTTCACGAATTATGGCCTTCAAACGGCCAATGAAACCGACACACACTGCCTGAATGTTGCTCTGCCGTAGTTTGGCCCAAGCGCTTGTTTGAAGTGATTGATACTTTGGTATTTTTTAGTGCCAACCTTGCTTTCCAAAACACTCCAGACACAATAGTCTAATGGATTGGTATCCGGAGATTTTGGTGACCATTGTGCGCTGGAAATGAAGCGAGGAACCTCATTTTGTAAACATTCATGGGTGGCGCGTGCTGAGTCCTCTTGGAATGTCCAAGGTCTGCGGCCAAACTGCGGCCCACAACATCACCATTACCGGCGCTTGAGTTCTGGTGGGCAAACGAAGATGCACATTTTCAGCTGACCTCTTTGGCAAGTAGACACGATCATTTTGTTTGTTTACAAACTGCTGGACAAAGAATGTTTTCTCATCGAAGAAAACCAAATTCGGCACTTCACAACTTTTGCTCTTTTGAGTCTATTTTCTTTCAGTTGCGTTATAAGTTCTTGCACTGTTTGGAATTTCAATGGCTTTACCCCGAGTTCATTTTTCCAACATTTGCTGAATATAATATTATGTTATAATATGTTCAGCTCACGAGCCATTTTTCGGCCACTGCGACGCGGGTTTCGATCAAGTCGCTTCTTTACTTTTCGAACCATTTCTGCTGTTTTCTTTCACGGTAACGAGCAATGGAACGAGATACAAAAGATTTATTAACATTTAACTATAGCCACTTGTGGTTTTCCAGCCAAAATAAAGAAATAACACTATCACGCTTGAATTCCATCACGAATTATTTTTTTTCTGGAAAATTCTCACCAAAATGCTGTTGTACGCTTGTAAGCAAAATAATGAGCAGTCACTGGAATAATTTTAACAGCTGTCGGGCGAGTGGCTTAGAGTTGTGAGACAGCAGTCTGAAGTTGGATGAAGTTTTTTAATCTTACCCGAATATATTTTTATTATTAATCCTTTCTCATAAAAATCTGTAGACTTCTTGTCTTCAGATTTAAGAAGAGTTTCCAAAGATAAATAATTGTTGTTTCTCATCGGGTTTGAAATTGTGACCGAAACCTTCAAATTACCAAAAATTAGGAGTAACAGTAATTTGGGTCTATACGAAATACTGGAACAATCATGAAAAAATTTTGCGTGAAGAGATTATACCTACTCAGAACTCCAAATGTCAAGTTAGACATGATTTGGTTTAAAATTGTGGTGAAAACATTCAAAATACCCAAAATAATAAGAAACGTGGACCGATATGTCCCATTTTTAATTCCAAACATACTAATGTAAATGTCTGACGACAAATTTCAGAGCGATATAATGCTTCCATGAATTAATCTCCGTTTTTTTGCATATCAACCCATTGTGCGACGGTGACTTTTATACCCAAACCAATAGGCTTTGTCATTCTCATTTTTGGGGTTCCATTTTTCTGAGATTTTAGAATAACTCCTATATAAGGGTAGCCACAACTGATGGACTACAATTGAGGATGTATACATTTATGTCTTTGTGCATTTGTTTGTAACCTAGAGAAGGGAGCGAGTTAGACCCATATTTCCTTTTGTTGATCTGCATAGAATCACATTCGGAGTCGATTTATGCAGGTCCGCCCATCCGTTCTGTCCATGTAATTTTTAAATAAAGTACAGGTCGCATTTATTGAAATTGGAGATAATCGGTAAAAATTTAGATACAGCTCCCATATATAACTTCGACCGGTTCGCTTTTTATTGTGCACCAAATGTGTAATATCAGACCAAATAAGATGGAATTTGGCACATATAAATTGAGTCTAAAAACAAGTGTGTCAAATTTAGTGGAAATCTGTCCAGATATAGCTATTCAGACACAGCCATAATATGCACTCCGTAACAACGGTACTCGGAGAAATATATCAAATACTTCTCAGAAATACCTTAGCCAAATTGTATCGAGATCGTCTTTGGTAGGTTTAGTTCTCAATTCCCCATAAAAACGTTTATTTGTTATACGTAGCTGTACTACGTATGCATAATAGTGTAGGGTATCATAAAGTCGGGTCAGCCCGACATTGGCCTTTCTTTACTGAATTTGTTTTGCAAGCTTGATCTAATTAAAATTTCATCTTCTGAAGAGTCAATATAAGTACGCAGTGAATTTTATTTATTAAGTAATTAGATGCACTTGTTACAAAATCAACAAACGCAAAGAAACTTAAAATTGTTCTAATTAAAATTAGTTTAACTAATTGCTCTCTCTCTCTCTCCCCTCTCCATACAGATGCTTAGTAATCAAGCAGGCCTCGATACAATAGCCATGGCAATATAGCTTCCATGTGTTTGCGGTAGCGGGGATTTGAATACATTTGTCGTTTGAATGCAACGCCAGCATCCGATTCGCCCATAAAATTATCCAGACTTGCATTTTCATTTGGATCACATAGAACGGCGGACATGACGCCGGTCACGGTGCTAAAAGCTATAAAAATAATGACATTTTTAATATCACATTCGAGATGGTTTTTAAATGTATCTCTTACCCCATATTCCATCCTTGTACAGCATTAAATGCAGATCCTTGAGTGAGGGTATTTTCTTTGGATACTTCAACAGTTTTAAATTCTTCTCCAAATGCTGGTGATAGAAGGCAATGAGGTAATCAAATTGTTGCAACTTGATTTCATATTGAGCCGAGGATAATATGAAATACCACAAATCTTGGGCGGGTGATGCATATCTCGGTATTTGATAGTCCACAAAATAAGTTTCAAGTATCTTGCCCGCCTCTTCGTCATGACAGAACATAATATTATTAACCCAGGCATCGCCGTGATTGAGAACACTAAACTCACTGTCGCGCTTAGTGTCGGCTGTTTTGAACATTTCCACGGCAACCTTTTGATACATTTCTACAACTTTGCCGTAATACAAATCGGAATTGGAATACTCTTTGACACATTCCAAAAATATCTTTTCTGAAGATTCATACATTCCCTTGATCAAATCAAAAGATTTTGGTCGAATATAGCCTTCGCTGTAAAGATCCGAATACATGCCTTTGCTGGCAACTCGTACAGCTGAGGCAGCATGCCATTGGGCCATTTTCTCCAAAACACATTTAGTATGATCCATATCAAGGCCATCCAAGCGGTTGGCATTTCGGAAACCTTTTTCTTTGAGGTTCTCCAGCAGAATGTAGGATTGATCTGTGGCTAATGTATAGGATTTTGCTCCAAATTTCACATTGACACCGGCATCAGAATATATTTTTTCTAGTTCCGGTACTACCTCACGATACATCCCACTTTCGGCACCAAATATATTATGACCTTCCATCATTTCACGGAATAGGTCAGTGTCGTGACCAACTTTTAACATAAAACTTAGGGGTTTTGTTGACTCATCTGAAATTAATATATATTTTTTAAATTAATTAAAAACAAATAAATAAAAATTATTTTTTAATTAATTTAAATTAAAAGATAAAAAATAATAACCTTAAATAAGTTCAATTTGTTAATCAAAAATACATAACAGAAAATAATGAAAGATACAAAATTAATTACTAATTAATCGTCTGGAGGTGGTTTTAGAGATGCGTACTACAAGTACACGAAAAGTACTTTATGGTACCAAGTCTGGTACTGCTTGAAGTCTGATATTTGAAATCAGGGTCTTTGATGTAATTTGGGATAGAAGAACGAAGAAGAAAGAGTTTTTTTGAACTTCAAACAATAAAAGTACCAAAATGCACTAAATTTGAGAATACAATTTTGAGCCAGAATTGATACGGTTGAGATTTAGAGGTGATTTTATAAATACGGACAAAAAATGTGCGAAATTCTACACTAAATGGTATTAAATTAGAAGGTATGACTAAAAAATTACAAAACAGTACTAAATTTTATATCTGGGGATGTAATAGAGTTGGAAATCTAAAATAGGTCAATTTTTTTTTTTTTTGGGGGGGGGGGGGTATACAGGGCGAGATGAAAAAACGGCAACCAACTTCAGACTGCTGTCATTTCTAAGCCACTCGTCCGACAGCTTTTTAAATTATTCCAGCGACCGCTCATTGTATTCTTTACAAGCGTACAAAAGCCTTTTGTTAAGAATTTTCCAAAAGAAAAAGTTATTCGTGATGGAATTTAAGCGTGATAGTGTGATTTTTTTATATATTTGGCTGGAAAACCAAAAGTGGCTATCGTTAGAGCACTCCAGCATTTAAATGTGAATAAATCTTTTGTGTCTCGCACCATCGCTCGTTACCGTGATGCTGGTAGCGTAGCCCGACGTCAAGGAAGTGGAAGGAAGAATACAGCAACATCGGCTGAAATGGTTCGAAAAGTAAAGAAGCGACTTGATCGAAACCCGCGTCGCAGTGGCCGGAAAGAATGATCTGTGCATGTCCACGTCTTTGTATAGCCCCCATATAATGGAACCTCCCGATATTTGGTAATTTGATGATTTTAGCTACATTATTTACCGATTCTTTTAAGTTTCGCATTTGAATATTCTTTGCTTATGACAAAAGTTACCTACCGTCGTATAGACCCTAATATAACAGCTACATTCGGTATTTTTAAGATTTTAATAGAATTTTTAACGGATTTTATTGTTTTTGAGAATTGCCAAATTCGTTCCAAATGGTGGAGGGTATTCAAAGTTCGGACGGCCGAACTTACATCTTTGATACTTGTTGGAATTTCAATGGCTTTACCCCGAGCTCATTTTTCAATATTTGCCGAATATAATATTGCGATATGTTCTTAGCCACTCGTGAGCTGAACATATCGCAATATTCCATTCGGAAAATATTGCAAAATGAGCTCATGGTAAAGCCATTGAATTTTCAAATTTCCAAAATTCAATGGCTTTAGCTCCTAAGAGCTAAAGATTTGCTTCTCTTGGCCCAAAGTGGTGAACTGTCGAATTTGGTTTATTCCGATGAGAAAACATTCGTTGTTCAGAAATTTGTAAACAAACAAAATGATTGTGTTTACTTGCCAAAGAGGTCAGCTGAAAATGTGCACCTTCGGTTGGCCACCAGAACTCAAGCGCCGGCCATGTTGGGGGTGTGGGCCGTCATAACAACCGATGGTCACTCTACGCTCGTATTAATCGACCGTGGCATCAGAATAAATGTCGAATATTATCGCGAAAATATTCTGGAGGGTTTATTGAAGCCTTGGGCACGCAACCATTTTGGCCGCAGACCTTGGACACTCCAATAGGACACAGCATCATCGCACTCAGCACGTGCCACCCAAGAATAGTTACAAAATGAGGTTTCTTGCTTCATTTCTAGCGCACAATGGCCAACAAAATCTCTGGATATCAATCTCTGGATATCAACCAAAGTGTGGTTTACCTAAAGCAAGCGCTTCGCAGGAGATGGGCCAAAATACCGCAGAGCAACATTCGGCAGAGCAACTTTTCTTAATTTTGAAGTTTGCATTTCAAAAAATTCGTGCATCTATTCTGCTATAAATTAGTGACTCTCATTCCAAATGTTTGGTAAATTTTTGTACCTTTGGTATCCTTTTTGTACGAATTTCCCAAAACCCAGCACTATGACTGACCATCGTGCAAAATTTCAGGATTCTAGATTCAGCCGTTTCGACTGGGCATTGATTCGAGATCTGTCAGATAGTCTGTCATTTCATGATTCTAGCTTCAGCGGTTTCATCTGGCGTGACGTATGAATATTTCCAAATTCCACTAACAAGCACTAGCTAGTAGCGTAAATTATGTCTTTAAAGAGTGTTTTTAATTTACTTACCCTTTAATTTAATGATAAATTCCGCTTTGAGCATAATGGTGCAATAATTCTCTCCCGGCGCCAAAGCACCTTTGGCTTTGAAATTAACGATTTCTTTAAATTCCGATTCCACTTCCTTTAGAGCTCCTTCAAAGAGACTTGCTTCAATCCATTTCGGAACAATTGATGAAGTATCGTCTTTGTTGTTGTTTTTAGCACCCATTGATTGAATTGTTATAAAGTCAAGTCAATTGAATTCGTATCAATCTGCCACACGCTTTATTATTAGCTTTTCGGACAGCGTAAACAATGGCTGTGTTTATCAAACGAACGTAAAAACTTGTCTGGCAGCAGCACGCCTTAAATTCCCACCATTTAAACGTACCGGAGATCCCCTATCTACTGTTTGCAGCGACGACGACATCATGACTGGTGAAATTTGTTATTGTCCAAGCTCCAACAAACAAATTTCATCATAATGGCAAAGCTTTTTGTTTGTTGATAAATGAGAACTTACGGCAGTTGGAAGAAATTTGTTTGTGTTGTATTTCTGGATGGGGAACCTCTTGTGTGGGAACCTCTCTGGCTAAAGCTGCAACTGGTTTATATTTTAATCGAGCTTTTATTTTGTTTTGCTATGTGCTTGTAGCTGTTTACGAAAATGCAAAAACAAATGTTTTTGTCAACTTCACAACCAAGTCAGTAGTAACCGTATTGAATATTGTAAATTTTGAAAAAAATAAAACCGGGCAGTTAGCTAGTGCGTACTTGTATACAATGTTTCACACATATAATGTAATTTTTCTGTGAAATAGAGATTTTAATTGTTATACTCAGTACTTGTAAGTGACCGGTACTTTCTTGGAGAAATAACACATTAATAGAACAGAAACAAAAAAAAATATATTAATTTGTTTATTATAATAATAATTATTATAATAATTTTAAAATAAAACAAGCACAAAAGCTGTAAGTTCGGCCGAGCCGAACTTTGAATGCCCTCCACCATTTGGAACGCATTTAGAAATTTTCAAAAAAATCAAATCCCTTAAAAATTCTGTAAAAATCTAAAAAATACCGGTAAATAATGTCGCTAAAATCAATAAAATACCGAATATCGGGAGGTACCGTTATATGGGAGCTATAGGAAGACGTGGACCTTCACAGACAATTTTCTGTCTTAGGCTGAAGTATCCATAACGAACTTCAAATATCAAATTTGAAACAATTCCGGTGAATAATGTCGCTAAAATCATCAAAATACCGAATATGGGGAATAAGTGTTATATGGGGGATATACGAAGACGTGAACCTGCACAGACAATTTTCTGTCATAGGCTGTAGTATCCATTTCGAACTTCAAATAACAAATTTTAAACAATTCCGCCAAAATCATCAAAATACCGAATATCGGGAGGTACCGTTATATGAGGGCCATACGAAGACGTGGACCAGCACAGACAATTTTCTGTCTTAGGCTTTAGTATCCGTTATGAACTTCAAATACCAAATTTGAAACAATTCCGGTGAATAATGTCGCTAAAATCATCAAAATACCGAATATCGGGAGGTACCGTTACATGGGGGCTAAGTGAAAACGTGGACCTGCATGGCCCATTTACAAACTTAACTTACCTACTGGAAAAATAAACATTTGTGCAAAATTTTAGCCTTCTATTTAAAATTTGTTCGAAAGATAGCGTGATTAAAGCAGACCATCTTCGATCAGATCTTATGTTGGTATTAATATTAAAATGTGCGAAATTTGATTTTTTAAATTTTTTTTTTAAATTATTTTATTAAACTTATTTCTTATTTTAAAAGATTTATAGTTATTCAACATTTGTCGATTTTCGCAGAGATAAAAATCAGATCAAATAGGATCTACAAAGTTCGAACAAAATCGAATGAGCTTTTCTCATTCTATGAGGTAGTTTATTTTCTTTGAAAATGTTGACCATTTGTGGGCGAGGTACCAGAAGTAGTGCACGAATGTTTCCCATCTCCGAACTTAATTTAAGTTTGACAATAATATTACGATGTACCAAGTTTGAATTAAATAGGATACTCTCTTCGAGAGTTATTCTGCGCACGGCAGGGAATTAGCAACAATAAACGTAGACAATCCAGTGCCGCTAAATGCGTCACGTCTTGTGTTAAAGACATGGGAAAAAAACGCCCACATATCCCTATGGAACAATGAGGGTGTAGGGAAAACCACAAAAATCTTATGGGGCGATCCCGATGAGATAAAAAACGAAAAACCTTTTATTACTAGGTAAAAAAGAGATCAGTGAGGTAACAGGCATCCTTAAGGGGCACCTGGGCCTACAAGCTCATCTGTACAAGATAGGATGTGCAGAAAACAGCATATATGTGGTTATGTGGTAATCAGACCATGGTAAACGATATAAGACAAATTACAAATATAAAAGACTGTAAACTGCCCGCCTTCTTCAAAAACAAAACCCTTAGTCTAGAGCGCACAACAGGTCTATACCGGCTTAAGTGTATGTCCAACGTAACATTACCTAACCTATTGTGCGCACCAGTAAGATAGACGGACGGACGGACCCTTTAGATCGATCTGTAACCTATGATTGAAAATTGCTTACGTAGGCCCACGTCTCCATATAACAAATATATAACGGTATCACATACAGGGTGAGATGAAACCAAAGTGTCGATCATCTCAAGCAAGCGCTTCGCCGGGAATGGGCCAAAATACCGCAGAGCAAGATTCGGGCAGCGAGTGACGGTTTCATTGACCGCTTTTGAAGACAATAATTCGTGCCAAAGGTGATCAATTCGAACAAATCTAAACTAATTCTAAAATTTCCGACATTTTTTGCTTTCATTCAATAAAATTAAAAGAAAATGGAAAAATTATGGCGTTTGGTTTTATTGCAGTTATTTTTTTTGTCTCGCTCTGTTCTCTTCCAGGGGGTAAGATACTCAGAAGGAACTCCTTGTATGGATTTTCAGACTATTCCATTGAAAAATGTGACTAAAATCATCAAAATACCGAACATCGGGGGACGCCATTGTATGGGGCTATACGACGTCGTGGACCCATATAGAAAATTCTCTTTCAGGGGTAAATTACTCTCGAAGAACTCCTTGTGTAGAATTTCAGACAATTCCACTGAAAATGTGGTTAAAATCATCAAAATACCGAATATCGGGGGTACCGTTATATGGGGGCTCTAAGATATCGTTGCCGATATGGCCCATCTTCGAACTTGATCTGCCTGCAGACAAAAGACAGATCCGCGCAAAATTTTAGCTTCCTATCTTTATTCGTATTGACTAAATTATTATTTCGATAAGGTACAAATGGAATGACGAACGGAAATATATCAGCGCTTAGAAGCGTAATCAACATTCTAATGTAGATCGAAATTAAATAAAACAATTAGTTTAAATTACTATAAACAATAAATTTCTATTCAACAATCCTAAAACTAATGATGCAATTTGATTAAAAATCAAGCAAACCACGATAATACAACCATGGCAAGATGGCTTCCAAATGTTTACGATAGCGGGGATTCGAATACATTTGCCTCTTAAATGCTAGACCAGCATCAGATTCACCCACAAAATTATCGATGCTGGCATTTTCAGTGGGATCACACAAGACAGCGGCCATGACACTCGTGGCTGTACTGTAACCTGAAATTACATTAAAAAAATATTAAACTCACTTTCTCGCATTTTTTCCAATGTCAGATCCCCTACTTACCCCATATTCCATGTTTGTATAACATTAAATGTAAATCTTTCAATGAGGGTATTTTCTTTGGATACTTCAGTAGGTTTAAATTCTCCACCAGTTGTTGATGATAGAATGCAATGAAGTAATCGAATTCCTGCAACTTAATCTCATATTGAACGGATGATAGAATGAAATACAACAAATCCTGCACCGGAGATGTGTAACGAGGAATTTGATAGTCAACAAAATATGTGTCCCGAATTTCACCAGTCTCCTCCTCATAACGGAACATGATGTTATTCACCCAAGCATCGCCATGAATGAGAACCTTAAAGTCATCATCGTACTTGTATTCGGCAGTTTCGTAAAGTTTTCTTGCAAGCTCATGATGCAGGCTTACAATTTTCTCATAATACATTTGAGAATTGGGAAATTCCTTTACAACTTCCAATAGTACTTTTCCCGAAGCCTCATACATACTTTGAATCATATCCAATGTGTGTGCCATAACATAACCGTCCAGATACATTTTGGGATATATGCCCCGAGTGGCAACTCTGACAGCCGAAGCTGCATGCCATTGGGCCATTTTGCGAAGGACACATTTGGTGTGTTGCATATCGAGACCTTTCAAACGATTAAAATTGCGGAAACCCCTTTCTTTTAAATTCTCCAAGAGGATATAAGGTTGATCGGTGGGTAAGTTGTAGGATTTTGCGCTAAATTTCACCTGGACACCAGCATCGGCATATATTTGTTCCAATTCCGGCACCACATCAAGGTACATGCCTGCTTCGATGCTGAATATGTCATGAGTTTTCATCATTTCCCGGAAAAGTTCACTGTCGTGGGCAACTTTTAACATAAAGGTAATGGGTTTTGTGGAACCATCTGAAGTTCAAAAATTTAAAAATATTGGATGGATAAATTGCAAAAAATAAGATTTTAAATTTAATCGAAAATTGAAAACATTTTTTCAGGTATCAGGTTCCTCGTATTTGAAAAAAAAATATATATTGGGAAAAATTCCCCCTTTTCCTTACCTTTCAATTTGATCACGAACTCAGCCTTGAGCATAACAGTAGCATAATTTTCACCCGGCGCCAGAGCTCCAGCCACTTTAAAATCAAGAATTTCTTCGAAATCTTTTTCCACCAGTTTTAAAGGTTCCTCAAATAAATTCGCTTCAATCCATTGCGGAACAACTGACGGAACTGATGAATTGCTGTTGTTGTTTGTAATGTTGTCAACGCTCATTGATAAAAAATAGTTTTAATTCACTTGAGTCTCTAGAGAAATTTCGTTTGAGCTTTTCGAACAACCGAATGTAACTGTGAGCGAAAACTACTCTACCCGAACTTTTTATATTTTCTAAACATACATAGTGAGTTATCTACAAATTGTCACAAGAAAAATGATAGATAGACAAGATAAAATTTTAAATCTCCTAATGCAAATTTCATCATATTCCGAAAGTTCAAATGCTTTTCATTGTGAATGTTTTCAATATGTTTACCATAAACTTTGGCAAAAACTACAAATCATAGATGTTTGAGCTTTTTAATTTTAAATAACGTAAACTTCTTCATTAATCCAAAAAAAATTAATGATAATGGATAAGAGTGATAACGATAAATATAAGTCGTATTTCACAAAAAATTCTGGCAAGTAAATTATACTGTAGTAACAATTGACCTATACTTCGTTTACTGAATATACCGATAAAGAGATTAAAATGGTGGAAAATCAAGAACTCAACAAAAAGTAAAACAAGTAAAAAAGCAGCTAAGTTGGGCACGCGAACTTTTAATACCCTCCACCATTTGGAAAGAACTTTCAAAATTTAAAAAAAAAAAAAAAATCCGAAAATTACCACTTAAATGGAAACCATTATATGGGGACTATACGAAGACATAAACCTGCATTCGACATTTTTACACCCTACAACACTATGTGTTGGGGGTATTATAAGTTTGATTGGGCCAAAAATTATGTAACACCTCGAAATATTGGTTTCCCACATAGGAAAGTATATATGGATCTTCCTAGCTCGCCGAGCTGAGTCGATCTAGCTATGTATGTCCGTCCGTCCGTCTGTCCGTCTGTCCGTCTGTCCGTCTGTCCATGTTAATTTGTAATCACTCTACAGGTCGCAATTATGGCCCGATCTTCACGAAATTTAGAATGTAGGTGGGGTTGAGGTCAGAATAGAACCCTATTTCTTTTGGAGATGATCGCCAAATGTTTAGGGGCTGAAATGGACCAAATACTGAAAAAATGTCGGATTTTGCAGTAGCTGTACAGGTCGCACTTATAGAACAATCGACGCGGAACTTCGCATGTAGCTAGAGTTTAGGGCGGGGAAGAAGCCTACCAATTTGGGTGGTCATCGGATAATATTTAGCGGGTAAAATAGACCATATCTTTTGTGTCGAAAAAAATCAAAATTTTTCATTAAACCGCGAATATTTTAAATCCCGGCAAAATCACAAAGCCATGACAAGGTTACTTCTGACCTTTACATTGATGTTAACATCCAACAAAACGGATATATAGCAAAATATGTGCGATATATATGTCTATCAAAGAATATATGCTTGAAAGATCTCTTATATGTCGAGAACGGCTGAACTGACTTCGACAGTTCTCATTAATTTAGAATGGCCTCTTGGCAGGAAAGAAACAACGTCTAAAAAATCGCATAAAAATATCTCTCTAAAGATGAAAATATTGATTTTGAAACATTTTCTCATATTTTTTCAATTTTGTCATATTTTTGGCATATTTTCATTTTGAATTAAACATTTGGTAATATTTCTACAGCTAACAAAACTAAGTAGTTAGGATATCAGGATATCATATACAGATCGCATTTATGGCCCGATCCTTACGAAATTTTGCATGGGGATAAGATGAGGGTCAGAATAGAAGCCTACTCTTTTTGGAGATGATCGCCATATATTTAGGGGTTGAAATGGACCAAAAAACTGCAAAATTGTCAGCAGATCGTAATTATTGCCCGATCCTCACGCACATTTGGATGGGGGTTACCGGACTTTGCAAAAGCCAAGCAGTTTTGGATGGCCATCCCAAAAATATTCAATGTGTGAAATAGTTTGCCAACTTTTGTAGACAAAATACGAAAATGTCCATTCCGGTGACTTTTTGGAGAATTCACAAATACAGGAAAGACGCACTTCTGACTATTTCGTTAACGCTGATTTCGTTGCGTTTCAGTAAAAAACCAATAATAAATGTTAATCTTTTGCCACGTCTGAGGGATTATAGGTCTTTGGGAAATATAGGTTCCAGATCTAGGAAGACCATTTAAGTGCAACATCTACCAATTAATTTTAAATGTGCAAATTAGTTTAAGTTGCTATTATACGAAAATTAGAGAACGAAACCTGATGGTTTTCTTTTATTATTTGTCACAATATCTTGTGGAATTCTTTCGAGTATCTCGCCTATATAAACTGTATCATTTATTATAGTGTTGTAGGGTATTCAACGGTCGGCCACGCTCGACTGTAGCCTTTGCTTACTTGTTTGTCATAGGCATGGGTACAACATAGGGATGGGTACGAACTTCAAATACGAAATTTGAAACAGTTACAGGGAATAATGTCGCTAATATCATGAAAATACTGAATATCGGGAGGTACGATTATATGGGGGCGATACGAAAACGTGGACCGTTATATGGGGCATATACGTAACCGTGAACCTGCATTAGAATTTTTTTTTTTCATATGCTGCAATACCCATTACGAAATTTAAATGCGAAACTTATTACAATTCCGGTGAATAATGTTGCAAAAATCATTAAAATATCGAGTATCGGGAGGTACCGTCATATGGGGGCTATACGAAGACTTGGACCTACATACGAAATTTTTTGCCATAGGCTGTAGTACCCATGAAGTCTTTCCAATACGAAATTTGAAACGATTCCGGTGAATAATGTTGCTGAAATCATCAAAATACCGAATATCGGGAGGTACCGTTACATAGGGTCTATACGAAGCCGTGGACCTGCATACAAAACATTTTATTATAGGCTGTAGTATCCATTACGAACTTCAAATACGAAATTTGAAATAATTCCGGTAAATAATGTCGCTGAAATCATCAAAATACCGAATATCGGGTGGTACCGATATAGGGGGCCATACGAAAACGTGTAGCGACATGGCCCATTTACGAACTTTATCTGCCTTCTGGTAAACTATGCATGTATGCACAATTTTAGCCTATCTATCTCAATTCGTTCGAAAGACAGCTTGATTACAACAGACAGAGAGACAGACGGACATCGGTAGATCGTTTTAGAATTTAACGCTGTTCCAGAATATACATACTTTGTAGGGCATATAATGAATATTTCGAGGAGTTACAAACGGAATGACAAAGTTAATATACACTCCATAAATTGGTGGAGGGTATAAAAACAGTAAGTACAGCCGGGCCAAACTTTAAATAACCTCCTCCATTTGGGAGGAATTGGGAAATTTTCAAAAAATACTGAATATAGGGAGTACCGTTACGAAAACGGACATTTTTTGTCAAAGGCCATTACAACGTTCTAATAAAATCATCAAAATACCGAATATAGGGAGGTACCGTTATATGGGGGCTATACCTAAACGTGTACCTATATAGTCCATTTTTAATACCAAAAGTCCTGCAGACCGAACACATAGACATATTTTTAAGAATGGACATAGAATTTTATGCTGGTCTGGGGTCTAAATGTATATTTTGAGGTGTTACACATGGAATGACAAACTTAATATACCATCCATACTATGGTGGAGGATACAAAAATTTGATTCTAATTCCACACACATGGGATATAGTTGTACATCCTTGCAAATTATGTTTTCTAACACTACATGATATAAGTAAAATATATGTGTTTCAGTCGACTTGGTGTTTAAGTCCCTCACATTCAGAATATGTACTTTAACACAATGATTTAGTACCAGATATTAGATGCAGATCATTAGAATACCTCTCTCTAATTGTATTAATATCGGTTCAGATTTGTTCATAGCTCCCATATCCGAGTTCACGTTCATTACGCATCAGCATTTGGAGTGGAATTGCAAGTACGACCGAATTCAGCCTAGAAGCAAGTACATCAAATTTGGTGAAAATCGATTCAGATATAACTATAGCTCCCCTATATATGTTTCATCCGATTTGGATTTTTAAGCCCCTCACATGCGTAATATGCACTGCACAAGAATGATATTTGGTATCAGATATCATATACAGCCCAGAAATACCCTTGTCAAATTTTATTGAGATCGGATCAGATTTCGATTTATCGATGGCTAATATCAGCCCAAATTAAATGAATTTTGGCACTTCCGACGGAATTCAGCCCATAAGCAAGTACTTCAAATTTTGGAAAATCGGTTCAGATATAGCTATAGCTCCCATATATATGTTTCATCCGATTTGGCGTTAAGGTCCGTCACATGCGTAATATGTACTCCACAAAAAGGATATTTGATACCCGACGTCAGATGCAGCTTGAAAATACATCTGACAAATTTTATCGGGGTCGGTTCAGTTTTTTTTTTATCGATTCAGAGTTGGATATAGTTCCCAAATTGTGACTACTCTGAAACCATGATACGCATTCAAATAAGGTTCATAGTTGGTATGATCTACTTCACATAAGTTCCCAATATAAAATTTTTTGTTACGGGAGCTCTATGAAATACACATAGTGGTGTTGGGTATCATATAGTCGGTCTCACCCGACTTTTGAACTTTCCTTACTGGTTTTATTTTATTTGATATTTCATTTTTATACCCTCCACCTTGGAAAGGAGGGTTTATTAACTTTGTCATTCCGTTTGTAATATCCCTAAATATCCGTCGTAGACACCATAAAGTAAATATTTTAAGTCGATTTAACGATGTCCGTCTGTCTGTCTTTTTGTAGCAGAACAATTTGTATTATGGTAGTTGGTATTCAAAATGTTTTGGTATAGTGCAGATATTCGGATTTTTCACGGATTTCTCTAAAAATTGGTATTTGTTGGTCATAATAGATTCTAGCTCCGGCGCCGAAACACGTTTTGGTACAGCCCCTATAAAACGGTACCTCCCGATATTCGGTATTTTGATGATTTTTGCCACAGTTTTTTACGTATTTCTCTATAAATTAGTATTTGTCGTGTATTATGGGTTCTAGCTGGTGTGGCGAAACATAGTATGTATAGGTCCACGTTTTGGTACAGCTCCATATTACGGTACCTCCCGATATTAGGTATTTTGATGATTTTTATCACATGTTTTCATGGATTTGTCTAAAAATTGGTATTTGTGGGTCATAATGGGTTCTAGCTCCGTTGGCGAAACATTGTATATATAGGTCCATGTTTTTGTATAGCCCCATATAACGGTATCTGCCGATATTCGATATTTTGATAAAAATTGGTATTAATAGTTCATACCCACTATCTTGTCCGGTGGCAGAACATTGAATATTTAGTTCCACGTTTTTCTGTAGGGCACATATAACGATACCCACCGATATACGGTATTTTAATAATCATAGTCCTATTTACCCCAGAAATTGTTTCATATTTGGTATTTTAGAAGATTTGATAGATGATATTCTTTAAGTATAAAATTTTCTATAGAGGTTCCTGTTTTGGTATGTCCCCATATAACGGCCTCACTTACTTTATGGTTTTTTGATAAGCTCAACAGCATTATCCAACCGGTCTTAGTGGTATATTAAATTAATAGTGAAACACGCTTGAATGCAGATACTTTTATATAAAAATGTTTCCTTTACCCTTATATGGAGGCTATTAAAACTTCGACACGGCCGTTTTTTTCTTGTTTTATACATTTTTTTCTATTTTATTTTTTTTATACTGAAATAGGTTTAGCAATCCAAGAGTCCCCGATTCAATAGCCATGGTAAAATGGCTTCCATATGTTTTCGATAACGTTCATTTGAATACATCTGTTTTTTAAATGCCAAGCCATCATCCGTTTCAGAGATGAAGTTGTCTAAATTAGCACTATCACTGGGTTCACACAGAACCGGGCCATGACATTGGTGATGGAGACATAACCTAAGAAAAAAGAAAAATGTATGTTATGAACTTTGTAATTTTGAAAAAAGAAATTAAAAAATATATTTTTTTTAGCATGCAACGTTTGAGCCTAAGAAAAAGCCAAAAAACTCACCCCAAATTCCGTATTTAAAAATCATGCAATGAATATCTCTGAGTGTTGGTATTTTCTTAGGATATTTGAGCAGTCTTAAGTTTTCCGCAAGAAGTTTATGATAGAAGGCAATCATAAAATCAAAATCCTGCAATTTTATCTCATATTTGCACGAAGTCAATATGAAATACAATATATCTTGGGCTGGTGAGGAATAGCTAGGAAGTTGATAGTCTACCAGATAAGTTTCCAGCAATTCTCCCGTTTCATCATTATACTTAAACATAATGTTGTTGGACCAAACATCACCGTGATTGAGGACCTTGAATTCCTCCTCAGCATCAATATCCCCAACATCGGCACTGTGATTTTGTGTTACCTTAAACAGTTCATCGGTTACTCGATGTTGAAGTTTAGCCACTTTGTCATAGTACAAATTCGAATTTGAATATTCTCGAATACATTCCAATAGCATTTTGGTAGAACTATCAAACATTTCCTTCATCATGTCATAGCATTCCGATCGAAAATATCCAGCAGAATATAGATCTGGATATGGTCCTTTTTGAACAACTCGCATAGCTGAGGCAGCATGCCAATAGGCCAACTTTGTGAGCACACTTTTAACGTGTGTCATATCAAGACCCTCCAAACGGTTGGTATTACGAAATCCCATATCCTTAAGATTTTCCAAAAGTATGTGTGTCTCATTTGTGGGTAGACGATATGATTTGGGTCCAAATCGTAAATTCACACCAGCATCGGCTAAAATATGCTCCAATTCAGGTATCACATCTCCATAGATTCCAGATTCAACATCAAACATGTTGTAAGTTTGCATCAGTTCTTGAAACAACTCATTGTCGTGTAGAACTTTCAACATGAAACTTTGTGCTTTATTCGAGCCGTCTGAAAGAAGAGAAGAACAAGTATAGTACATTTTTGTAACAGATTTTAAGCAATCCATATAAAATTATGTTGGACCAAGGAGTTCAAATTGTCGACGTTGTTGCATAATATTAGTATGTCGCACAGATTGTCGCCTTTTTTTCCTGAAAGATATTCCGTTCGTTAAGAAATTTTTGATGATACCCCCAATTAGTTCAATCCTTCTGGTACCTCCTTCACAGACACTCGTCTTTATCGACCGTGGCATCAGAATAAATGCGAATATTATCGCGAAAATATTCTGGAGGGTGCATTAAAGCCTTGGGCACGCAAACATTTTGGCCGTAGACCTTGGACATTCCAACAGGACTCAGCACTATCGCACTCAGCACGCGCAACCCAAGATTAGTTACAAAATGAGGTTCCTCGCTCCATTTCCAGCGCCCAATGGCCACCAAAACCTCCGGATACCAATCTTTCGGACTATTGTGTCTGGGGATTTTTGGAAGTAAAGTTGGCACTAAACAAGTGAAAAAGCAGTAAGTTCAGCCGGGCAGATCTTTGAATATCCACCACCATTTTGATCGAATTTGGCAATTTTCAGAAAAATAAAATCCTTACAAATTCTATTAAAATCTTAAAAATACCGAATGTAGCCGTTATATCAGGGTCTATACGACGACGTGGTCCTGCATAGGCAACTTTTGTCATGAACCATTGCCATATTCAAATGAGAAACTAAAATCATCAAAATACCGAATATTGGGAGGTACCGTTATACGAAGGGGCTATACGAAAACGTGGACCTATACAGACAATTTTCTGTCATAGGCTGTAGTATCCAATACGAACTTCAAATACCAAATTTGAAACATTTCCGGTGAATAATGTTGCTTGAATTACAGTAATACCGAATATCGGGAGGTACCATTATATGGGGGCTATATCAAAACGTGGACCTACATCATCCATTTTTAATACCAAAAGTCCTGCAGACATAATACACATTTGAGTAAAATTTTATCAACCTACTTCATTTCGTTCGGAAGCTAGTGTGATTTCCACAGACTGACATACGGATAGACAAACGGATATCGCTAAATCGACATAGAATTTTATGCTAATCAAGAATATATATACTTTTTGGGATCTAAAAGGTATATTTCGAGGTGTTACAAACGGAATGACAAACTTAATATACCTCCATACTACGGTGGAGGGTATAAAAATACCAAAGTGTCGATCAGCTCAAGCAACCGCTTCGCCGGGAATGGGACAAAATACTGCAGAGCAACATTCAAGCGGTGTGTGACGGTTTCATTGGCCGTTTAAAGGCCATTAGTCGTACCAAAGGTGCTATTTCGAACAAATGTAAACTTATTCTAAAATTTTATGCTATTTCCGACCTTCCTTTTATTCGATAAAATTAAAAAAAAAAAAACGTATAAATTATGGCGTTTGACTTTGTTGCAGTTTATAGGTAATCAATTTTCTAACTTTGATATTCTTGCAACTTCTTTGCATCGCGAAAACCGTAACATCCGATTTGAGAAGAAACATAAACATGGCACTCTAAAAAATGTCTTAAATTCCAATGTTAATAATTTCAACACATTACCCTTTAGTTTAATAACGATATCAACTTTCAACATAATCGATGCATAATTCTCTCCCGGCGACAATGCTCCAACCACATTGAACTCTTCAATGCACAGGAATTCCGGTTCGATTTCTTTTAAGATATCCACAAAGAGATGTGATTTAATCCAGGATGGTACAACTGGACCTGCGGCTTCTTTATTATTTTTAATTTTTTCATCCATTTTCAAAATATTTTTTTTCCGACCGAATGCTAAAATTACAGCTGTGTATGACTTAGAATGACTTGCGTCCGAAATTGATTTAAACATAGATATGTTAGACTAAACCCTATTAACTATTAAAGAAAAAGCTCTCCAAAAGCTTCAATCATCATGCATGCAATTTACATGGAATCCGTTGCTGGACAATTGAATTAGTATGAATTGTATCAGCTGATTGTACGAAGATTAAAACTAAAAATATTTACGTAGATATGTTTGTATGTATGTAGCTACATTAGGGTAGGTAATTTTGTACGTTTTTAATGTAACCCAATACAATTTGATGCTCTTAAGACATTAAATTTTTCTATCAACTCGACCTTTGCAAAAAGTACCTCGGTGGATCAACCTTCCATCAGGATGTACTGTAGGTACAACTGCGCAATACAAAAAATAGTTACGCGGATAGTATAGCAGATTATGAAAGTAGAGCTAAAAAAGAAGAAAAAAATAGAGGGGACAAGTTCCCCCTCTCCTACAACATTTTGGATTAAGATTCCTGGAAATCCCTGCGTTTTAGGTACATAGTGTCTTTGGTAATATTGCAGATAAAAATACGAGGAATATATTGGCTAAAAATCGATCGAGTCAATAAAGGGGTCTTTTTGGTCCATACATAGTATGGAGGGTATATTAAGATCGTCATTCATCGAAAAGACAATTGTAGACCCAACAAAGTATATATATTCTTGATCAGTCCGTAATGGATATTACAGCCTATGACAAAATTTACAAAATGCAGGCCCACATTTTCGTATAGCCCTCATATAACGATACTTCCTGATATTCGGTATTTTGATTATTTTAAGAACATTATTCACCGGTCTTGTTTCAAATTTCGTGTTTGAAGCTCGTAATGGGTACTACAGTCTATGACGGAAAATTGTCTATCTAACGGCTTTCCTTTCGACCTAATTTGGAAATTTTCATGTTCCTTAAAAATGTAGCAGGGTTATTAAAAGCTTTTAGCTACATGTTTACTGGCTAGCTCTACTTTCATAATCTGTCGGATTTTCCTCGAATTTTTTAAAATTCCCTACCGCAAAACAGTGACAAAAAAATAAGACAAACGATCGGGATGTAGTATCGATGACAGAGATGTCAGACGGTTGATAACTTTTCAATAGCTTGCCAAGAGTCAATCGTCAGCTCAAGTCGTTGTCATCTCTGTACCTCGATAGGATCCGATAGCTCATCACCATCTCGTAGAGGAGTAACTCAACGCATTTTGGAAAGAGGTTATCATTAAATCATTGATTACTCCATCCATAGCACCTGGACTGGTCGTCGGCAACACTTTAATAGTTCATAGTTGGTCGTTAGCTCATCGATATCCTGTCAACAATACTCCGTGGCCCACTGTGACTTTGATTGAATTTATAAAATACTTGGGATTTGAAAGTGTGGGGAATCGGTTCCAGAATTTTGAACTTTATCGCTAGTTTAGCTAGCTAGTTTATCGGGGGTTTAATAAATCGATTGCTCTTCGATAGCGTTTTAATAGAACGCCGTTTAGGGTTAAAACTCATCGATAGCTCTTGGTAGCTCATCTATAGCACGTCGATAACTGATTTATATTCTCGCTATCACGTCGATGATTCATCGATAGCACCTCGATAGTTCGGCGATAGAATTTCGATAAATCGATAAACCTACAAAACATTCATCTTGAATATATATGGATATGACCCTCATATAAAGTTAACTTCTGATTTTCGGTACTTTGAAGATTTGAATGTATATTTTCGATCATAAAGTTTTTGAAAAATTATTTTTTAATTTATTTTTTTTTATTTACAAATGTTAGAAAAAAATTTACAAAAAAATATAACTAAATTTACAATAAATTATTATAATTAGTTAATTATAATTTTGCGGTTCTACTCTAAATATCCAAACATCCCCGTTTTGCTAGCCATGGGAAAACGATAGCAGCATTGGCTTTATATTTGGAATTCAAGAACAAATCGTCACGGAATTTTTTGCCTTCGGGTGTATCAGCAGCAAAGTTGGCCAAATTGGCGTGCTCATTTGATTCCAAGAGGCAGACGGCTGTTGTGCCAAAGGTGGTGTTGAAGCCTAAAGAAATAAACGAAATAAATAGAAATCCGGGCGCAAATAATTTAGCGTTTGCTTACCTAGGTAGCCATATTTCAACATGACCTGATGTAATTCATTCAAAGTGGGGATGTGTCCGGAATATTCCAACATTTTCAGGTTCTCCTCCAGTTTTTCATGGTAATACCGAATGAAGTAGTCGAAACTGTCCACCTTAATCGATTGTTCCGTGGATGACATGATGAAATACCACAGATCTTGGGCAGGTGAATCATATTTGCAGACTTGATAATCTACGAAATAGGCATCCTTGATGTTACCGGCTTCATCATGTTTGAACATGATATTGTTTAGCCAACCATCACCATGATTAAGAACATTGAATTCCGTAGGATCGACTTGAGCCAAACGAATAGTTATATCGACCATATTATCCAAGAGGGCAGGCTGAAAGGATGAGGGGAATATAAATCAGATTACTTGGGATAAATCTAGGACATTTTTCAATAATGATTATAGGTTCGAATCAGATTTGCTACCAGATTTTAAATTTGAATATATTTAAATGAATTTCGAATTTAATTTCCAATTTTAGTCAATTAAAAAAATCTGCTGCAATATTTATTTAGGTTTAAGACAAAAACCTGATCGACTCTGTAATCGAAAATCGATTGCGCACACTCACCACTTTATCAAAATATTCTTCATTGTTCTCGAATTCCTTGAAGTAATCGACAAATTTTCTTCTATCCATGAGTTCGAAAATTGCCCGACTCTCTTCGGAGTAGATACCTTTGTGCAGCTTCTCTGGGAATGGACCATTCAATTCAACATATTTAGCCGATACAGCATGGAATTGGGCCAATTTGGTTAGGACACACTCGACATGAGTCATGTCTAAACCTTCACGACGATCGCCACACTTGAAACCAGACACTGAGAGATCTTCCATAATGATCACATCAGTTCCCACTTCCTTGGTGAATTGATAGGATTTTGGTCCGAAATTAAATTTACCACCATATTTGCTGTACAGTTCTTCAAATTCGGGCAAATATTTGTTGTACATAAGTATTTCCTTTTCAAAGAAATTCCACATGGAAACCATGCCACTCTCCTCTTCAGATTGCAAAGGGAATTTCAGAATATAGGATTTGCTTACATTGCTACCATCCTTTAGCAGGGCATCGACTTTAACTCTTAGCAGGCTTGAGGCATAATTGTCACCAGACTTAGTTGCAGAATTGGCTGTGATGTTGGTGATCTTTTCAAGATTTGTAAAATCTGCTTTTAAAATATCTTCAAAATGTTCGGCATCAACCCAAGAGGGGATTTTGATGTTTTTTAATTTTGGATCTGAAGCTTGAGTTTCGGTCACTTCAACGCTAAATGATAAAGCGATATTTGAAAATTAAAAAGGAAACCTTTACAGTTTTAAAAAATATTCAAATCAGTTTTGGAAACTAAGCAAGGAATTATTACCCGAATTTTAGAAATAAATTTTTACTCAACTTTTGGCATTACATCTTAACTGAACCTTTAGCATGGCACTTAAAGCGCATTTTTGACATGATATCTTTATCAAACCTTGCTCTGATATTTGACATTTTTTTAACATAAAACCAGTAAGGAAAGCTCAAAAGTCGGGCGGGGCCGACTATATGATACCCTACACCACTATGCATATTTAGTAGAGCTCTCGTAAAAAGGTTAATACAGGGCATTTCAGAGCTCTATGAGATATTTGGTACAAAATCAAAATCTATCGTGCATTTTACGAACTATAGCTATCTTTGAACCGGGTTTCTCCAAATTTGACGTATTAGCTTCTAGACTGAATTCGGTCTTATGTACAAAAATTCAGGTGATTTGGGCTGATATTGGCCATTTGTTGCACAATTGACACGAAATCGGATGAAGATACATATGGGTGCTATATCCAAATCTGAACAGATTTTGATAAAATTAAAATCGACTATTTTTGGGCTTTATCTGATATCTGGTACCAAATATCATTCCTGTGAAGAGTATATTACGAATGTAAGGGAGTTAAAGAGCAAATCGGATGAAACATATATATATGGGAGCTAGAGCTATATCTGAACCGATTTTTACTAAAATTTGTGTACTTGCTTCTAAGCTGGTTTCGGTCGGATTTGCCAAAATTGATGCTATTACGGCCATTTGGTGGTCAATCACCCGAAATCGGATGAAGATATATATGGGAGCTATATCCAAATCTGAACCGATTTCGATAAAATTACAAACAGCTATTTCTGGGCTGTATCTTATATCTAGTACCAAATATCATTCTTGTGGAGTGCATATTACGAATGTGAGAGGCTTAAACACCAAATCGGATAAAACATATATATGGTAGCTATAGCTGTTTCTGAACCGATTTTCTCCAAATTTGTTGTATTTGCTTCAAGGCTAATCTCGGTCACATGTGCCAAGGTTCGGGCCATTTGGGCTGATATTGGCCATTTGGTGGTCAATTAACCCGAAATCGGATGAAGATATATATGGGAGCTATATCCAAATCTGAACCGATTTCGATAAAATTTAAAACAGCTATTTCTGTGCTTCATCTAATACCTGGTACCAAATATCACGGTTGTGGAGTGCATAGTAGGAATGTGAGGGACTTAAAGATCAAATCGGATGAAAGATATATATGGGAGCTATAGCAATATCTGAACCGATTTTCTCCAAATTTGATATACTTGCTTCTAGGCCGAACTCGGTTGGGTGTGCCAAAATTCAGATAATTTGGACTGATAGTGGACATTTGGTGCACATTTAACCCGAAATCGGATGAAGATATATATGGGAGCTATATCCAAATCTGAACCGATTTCGATAAAATTTAAAACAGCTATTTCTGTGCTTCATCTAATACCTGGTACCAAATATCACGGTTGTGGAGTGCATAGTAGGAATGTGAGGGACTTAAAGATCAAATCGGATGAAAGATATATATGGGAGCTATAGCTATATCACAACCGATTTTCTCCAAATTTGATATACTTGCTTCTAGGCCGAACTCGGTTGGGTGAGCCAAAATTCAGGTAATTTGGACTGATAGTGGACATTTGGTGCACATTTAACCCGAAATCGGATGAAGATATATATGGGAGCTATATCTAAATTTGATCCGATTCTCACCAATTTCAATAGGGTTCGTCCTTGGGCCAAAAAAATATTGTTTGGAGAATTTCATCTCAATCGGATAATAAATGCGACCTGCATTTTGTTCACAAGAATACATGGACAGACGGACGGACGGACGGACGGACGGACGGACGGACAGACGGACTGACATGCATAAATCGACTCAGAAAGTGATTCTATGAAGGTTCTCAAAAGTAACTATGGGTCTATCTCGTTTCCTTCTCCATGTTACAAACAAATGCACAAAGACATAATACCCTTACCACTATGTGGTGTAGGGTATAATTAACATTTCTTGAAAGTATGTTTAACATTTAAAGAAAGATCGGACGTCTCAAGGTGTTTCATGATGCAACTCAGAAGAGAATAGATCAGAAAGAGTTTATTATTTATATGAAGCGTGATGCGAATTTTGAAGTTAGAGTTAATCAGACATACGAAAATGGATTACAAATTAGGACTACAAAGGTTAGGCACATAAGTAGCTCTAAAAGTTCGTTATTCTTTCATTAAAAACTTCGTAGCGAAAAGTCGACCTTAAAATTTTATATTTCTTCCAACAGTTAGTGTTAGGTCTTTTTAGCACTCAGAAACAACAAAGCACAAAACTTCGTACTACATTTTCAGACTTTCAAGGTTTTATATTTTATTCCAGTTTTTCTTCCTTCGGAAAAATAATAGGAAAATGATTACCTTTTACTGCAAAAAGTTCAAAAAAAATATATTTTAAAGTTTCCAGATGAGGATATTAGTAATACCATTGCACAATGGACCAACAACCCATTTTTATGTCCGAAACTATTTTAAGGTCTCCATATGTAAACCCTAGAAACCAACAGGACCTCAATATTCAATTTCAGAATTTCAGCTCTTTCCCTCCACTCAATACAAATTTAGCAACATTTAGTACCCATATCCAAAGCAATCCACATTTCTTCCTCCCAGACACCAGCAGTGATCCAAAATTAGTATAATTCAGTACTTTTCGAACAATTATAGCACACATTTTAAAAACTTCCTCCAGATACCAACATAGACCTTAATATCAACTTTCGAAATCCCAGCTATATCTCTTCACCCAATACCAAATTAAGTACTATTTAGTAATTTTCGTACAATTATAGAACACATTCCAAAACCAACTCAACTGTGAAATTTGAAGACGGCAGCACTATCCCTTCACCCATTTAGTACTTTTCGTACAAATATAGGACGTATTTTCAAACCACCGAAAAATCTCAAACACACATGCCGTCAGTAATCTTCACCCAATACCAAACATTGTGCAATTCAGTACTTACCGTACAATATTATACACATTTCCGAAACCACCTTCGTATGTCCAGGCTACATATGAACAGCGATCTGATACCTAATTTCAGATTTTAAGCACTATCCCATTACCCAATACCAAATTGTACCAAATATAGTACCATTTAGGACTCGTCGTGCAATTAATGTACACATTGCCAAAACCACCCCCATATCTCAATTCCAGATACCAACAGAGACCTCAATATCAAATTTGAGGATTTCAGTCCTATCCATTCACCCAATACCAAATTTAGTACCATTCAATACTTTTCGTACAATTATGGTTTACATTACCGAAATCACCTTCATATGTACAGGCTACACGTGAACAGCGACCCCAATATCAAATTACAGATTTCAAGCTTTATCTGTTCACCCAATGCCAAATTTTACCAAATATGGTACTTTTTAGTACTTTTCGTACAATTATAGCACACGTTTCCAAAATCAACTCCACATCCCAACTTTATATACCAATAGAGACCTCAATATCAAATTTGAGGATTTCATCCTTTCACCCAATACCAAATATAGTACCATTTAGTACTTGTACATTTGTAGTATACATTTTCGAAACCACCCTTATATGTTCAGGCTGCACATGTACAGCGGGTCTAATACCAAATTTCACATTTCAGCACTATCTGTATCAATACCCAATTTCACCAAATATTCCAAAACTACTTCTTTATCACAATCCTACCATCAACGAGTACTCCAATACCAACATTTCAAATGATCCAAATTATTCAAATTTAGTTCATTTTAGTACTTTTGTTAGAATTTCAAAAACCTTTCACTCCAAATTTCAGATTTTCAGCTCTATCTCTTCCCTATATACTAAAGTTAATACTATTTAGTTCCTTTTGTACTTTTTAGTACGAATTTTCTAAATCCTTCCCTATGTATAAATCAAACCGCACAAAAGGTAGTCCTAATGCCAAATTTTAGACTTTCAACTTAGTCTCATACTCAAATACCAAATTTAGTACCATTTAGTACCTTTTAGTGCATGTTTCCAAAACCATCTCCAAATCTCAACCGTGACATGCCAAAATCTTTACAACTCTATTCCATACCCAAATACCAAAATTAGTACCACTTAGTACTTCTAAGTACTTATTTCCAAAACTATTGCTAAATCTCAACCTTCACACTAACACGGATCTTAATGCTAAATTTAAGATTTCAAGAAGCATCCGTTCATTCAATACCAAATTTAGTAGCATTTAGTACCTTTCGTACACTTGCTGAACGTATTTCCAAACCAAGCACTTATTATTTACCCTACATACCAGCAGAAACCCCAATATCAATAATTTAAATTTCCCAATCTATCCGTTCAACCAAAACCAAATTGTATCGAATTTAGTACTATTTAGTACAGTTGTCACACTTAGAACATATTTACAAAAACACGTACTTAAATCAATACTACTTCCCACATTTAATTATATGAGGGCTGCAAACAACTTGTCGATTTGAGTTGGTTTAGTTCAGCGGTTCACATTACCTTTTGAACCATGGGTCAGTTTTGTTTAACCGAATCGAACCATTTTTATACCCTCCACCATACATAGTATAGAGGGTATATTAACTTCGTAATTCCGTTTGTAACTCATCCAAATAATCATTTTAGACCCCGTCCGTCTGTTGTATATCCCCCATATATCGGCACCTTTCGATGTTGGGTATTTTTAATGGATTTTTTTTGAAAATGTCCTAATTCGTTCCAAATGGTGGAGGGTATTCAAAGTTCAGTCCGGCCGAACTTACTGCTTTTTTACTTGTATGAAGGATATATATTGATTTCGTCATTTCGTTTGTAACTCATCGAAATAAAAATTGTAGGCCCAACAAAATAAATATATTCTGGATCAGCGTAAAATTCTAAGATATTTTAGCAATGTCCGTCCGTCTGTCCGTCTTTGGTAATCACTCTAGCTTTATAATATTTTACTCAAATGTGTGTTTGGTCTGCAGGACTTTTGTTATTGAAAATGTGCTACATGGGTCCACGTTTAGGTATAGCCTGCATATAACGGTACCTCCCGTTATTCGGTATTTTGCTGATTTTAGCGACATTATTCTCCAGAATGGTTTCAAATTTCGTATTCGCACTTCGTAATGATTGCTACAACCTGTGACAGAAAATTGCCTATGCAGGTCTAGGTCTTCGTATAGCCTCCCTTATTCGGTATTTTGCTGACTTCAGCGAAATTATTCTCCGGAATGGATTCAAAATTTCGTATTTGCACTTCATAATGAGTAATACAACCTGTGACAGAAAATTGCCTATGCAGGTCCAGTTATTCGTATATCCCCCATATACCTCCCTTAATTTGGTATTTTGCTGATTTCAGCGAAATTATATTCCGGAATGGAATAATACCCTATCACAGAAAGTTGCCTATATAGGTCCAGGTCTTCGTATAGCTCCCATATTCGGTATTAGGAATTTGAAACTATTCCGAAGAAGAACGCAGCTAAAATCACGTCTCGGTTCATTTTCAGAAAAACCAGTTCGGTTCGGAACTGACCTAGATGTTTCTTCTGGGCCTTGATGAATATGAAAAAGAAATGTACAAATACTAACAATTTTGGAAATATACCGGGCTCCCAACCCTGGTACATAATTTCTGCTAAAATTTTAATCTTGTACTCCTACTTACATCAAATCCAAAAGACCGCGTCTAACCATCCAAGGGAATACTATTTCGGCATGTTTGCGATAACGAGGATTCAGGTACATATTTCTCTTAAAGGCATCGGAATCTTCACCAGATGCCAACATTGTTTCCAAACTGGCATTTTCTGTGGGATCCAATAAGGCAGCAGACATGACTCCAGAAACGGCATAGGGAGCTAAAAATACGTTTAAGTTGGTCATTTGTAAAATAAGTCACTATTTAAATATCTTTCAACCTACCAAAAGGTCCATGTTCCAAAATATCAATATGCAAATCCTTAAGACTTGGTATATCCTTAGGGTATTTAAGTAACTCCAAAGCAGTCTTAAGTTGTTCATGATAGTAGCGAACGAAGTAATCAAAAGAATCGATTTTCATTTCAAATTGTGTTGAAGACAAAATAAAATAGTAGAGGTCAAAGGCTGGCGAACCGTACCACATCAATTGGAAATCAACGAAATAGGTATTGGCTATTTGACCCTCATCGTTGTACTGGAACATAATGTTGTTCACCCAACAATCGCCATGATTTAAGACATTAAATTTGCTCCGATCTACGGAAAAAGCCTTGGCTAGGCTTTCATAGGCATTGTTGAAATAGTATTCCTTTGGAAAAAGAACAAAAAATGAAAAAGTGAAAAATTTAACGAATCTAAATGTACCTACCAACTGTTCAATGTACTCCTCATGACCATCGTATTGCTTGCAGCAATCGAGGAAGACATTATAGAAATCCTTAAATTTGGCCAAATGCATTTCCTTAAATTCTGGCTCATAAGCGGAGCGTTCAAAAATGTCCGGATATGGGCCTTCAGCCTCATACAAACAAGCGGAGGCAGCATGGAATTGTGCCAATTTCTTTAAGGTCTCCAGAGTGTGTTTCATATCCAACCCCTGTAAACGATCGGCATTCTTGAATCCCTTCAAACGTAGATTTTCCAAAATCAATTTCTGCACCCCATTGTCCACAGTGGGTTTGTAACTCTTTGGTCCGAAAACAACTTCGGTGTTGGCTTGTTCTTTGAATATCTTCTCAAGTTTAGGTATGATTTCATTGTAGGCAAGTGTTTCCTTATTAAACGAGCCCAAGAAGGCAATGATGGCTAGGGCTTCTTCTCCCTTCGGTGGAATTTTTACCATATACGAGAGGCTACGTTGGGTCTTATCTGAAATGAAGAGGGCAATTCTAGTTTAGAAGAAGTGAGAACAACGTTAAGCTTGGCAGAGACTTAAATTATGGCATGAATGATTGGTTTAAATTTTGGCAGTTTCGTGATGAACAATAAACCGGAAGACACTAAGTGCTTTATATGTTTTTTATACCCTCAACAATATGGCTTGAGAGTGATACAATTTAATACGGCAAAAACGTGAACATCGTAATAGACCCTTGGTCTCTTTGGACCAAATCCGGTTCAGGACATTTTACAGTCGATCTAGCGATGTTGGTCCGCTCGTCTGACAGTCTGGACGAGCGGACCAACATCTCGAAGGGAGTATTCGATTTGGTCCAAGCTTGGTGCATCGTAATATTCTTATCTAACATAGATCTAGTTCGGAGATGGATAATGTCTTTCGAAAAGGTCGAAATTTTCAAAAGAAATATATTACTGCAAAAAAAGAAAACGGAAAATGTGATTTGTCTCCAATTTAGCAAATCCCAATATTTGGACCAGTGCTAGATTTCGCACCTGACTACATCGGCTCTCTTCATCAAGTATGTCACCCACCAAGGGTCAAAATTTGGAATAATTATAACTCTTATAAAATGTGATGTATGAGCCCGATTGTCTTCATATTACACACATCACAATACTTTTATTCACCCAAAGTTTGGTGTGAAGATGTGACATATCGGACTAGTCCTTCTGGCATCTCCCCCACAAAGGGTCAACATTTTAAACATCCATGAAGCCCATAAAAAGCGAAATTAATATTCGATTCCATTCAAACTTTCCACATCTCAATATTTCCATTAGCACAAGGTCTGTTATAAAGATGGTAGAGATCGGACCACTCCATCTGGTACCTCCCCAATTAGGGTTCAAGATTGGATCTGATCGGAAAAATAAAACGTTCAAAAAAAGCAAACAAAGAATCCAACGCTTTTCAAATTTCACACAAACAAATTTTTTCTGTTGTGAAGATGATATATATCTGTGAGCCCCTTCCTCACCTCACCCACAAAGGGTCACTATTTATCTGTCATAACTTGCGAAACTGTCGCATAAAATTAGATATAAATACTCAATTTTGCCCATACCAACATTTATACCCTACACCACATTGTGGTAAGGGTATTATATCTTTGTGCATTTGTTTGTAACATGGAGAAGGAAGCGAGATAGACCCATAGTTACCTCTGAAGATCTTCATAGAATCACTTTTTGAATCGATTTATGCACATCAGTCCGTCTGTCCTTCCAAACAACATTTGTTTGGCCCAAGGACAAACCCTATTGAAATTGGTATTAATCGGATCAGACTTAGATATAGCTCTCATATATCTTCAACCGATATAGGGTTATGGCATGGTATATATCAGTTCAAAAATCTTGAATTTTGGTACATCCGACCGAATTTAGTATAGAAGCAAGTACGTCAGATATAGCTATAGCTCCCATATATGTATATGTTTCATCCAATTTTAAAGTCTCTCGCATTTGTAATATGCATTCGATACCAATTATATATTGTACCAGATATTGATACAGCCCACAAATACCACTGCCAAATTATATCAAGATCGATTTAGATTTGGATATAGCTCCCATATATATCCTCAACCGATTTTGGGTTCATCGTGCACCAAATGGCCAATATCTGCCAAAAAGTCCTGAATTTTTGTTACATCCCACCGAATTCAGTCTAGAAGCAAATAAATCAAATTTCGTGAAAATCGGCTCAGATATAGCTACAGCTCCTTGTTCCGAATTCAGCCCGAATTGCATTGATTCTGGCACATATGAGCGAAAATGTGTCAAATTTTGTGAAAATCGATATATAAGTTTCATCCGATTTTGTATTTAAGACACTTAGCCCGTAAAATGCACTCCATATATATACCATACAGATCGGTTCAAATATAGGTCCCACATATTTCTTAATCCGATTTCACGTTACCTGTACACAAAAAGTGCAATATGAACTCAATTAGGATGAGTTTAGTAAAAATCGAAGCTGATATATCTAAAGCTCCGAAATATATGTTTTATTTTAAACGTTCTCAAAGTCAAGGGATACAAATGCCTCCGTAACTGCTATAAAGTCATAATACGCATTCAATAAAAACGTCTTTTTCTATGGTAGCTCTACTAAATACGCATAGTTGTGTAGGGTAATAGACAAGGCACGGTCGACGAGAAGGTTTTTGTTGTAACAGACAAAATCAACTTACGTGGTTATGCCACTTCGTTCGTGTAAAAGGAAAGCTTTAAAAGTAGAAAAAGATAAAAAATTTTATAAGTGCGGTTGTAAGATTTAGAAGTTTTTCCAAAAGAATTTTAGTTTTCTGTAATTCTTTGGCTCCTCTTCTATTAAGCTTACGATCTCGTCACTTTAGTAAGAAAAGTTTTTTGTCATAGAAGTTATTCTTAAAATAAGTTCTGGGGAAAATATCCGAGACATAAAAAAAGGGAACTGATAAAGATTGGTGGCTCTTTTCGAAACCTAGGTATTCCCTGCCTTACCCCCTGGTAAACATTACCATCGTTCTCCACTAATAAACTAAAGTTGTTTTTATAAGAAAAACAATAATGGGATTAAGCCTGACCATTTTGCAACAACAAAATACCATGTTATCCCGAACAAACAAGCAAACATTGTTCTATTATATTTATATATTAATAAATTCTCTCGGATGGTTTTCTACCCCCAAAGAAACCTATTTTTTATCAAAATCGATGGGAAATATTATTTTTATGAGTATCTTTATTAAAGCTATAACAATTTGTTGTTATACCCATTTACTACACCCATTAATAACTTAGATGTCCCGGACCCATTAATAATTTTACGGCAAACTTTATTGATCTATTCCAAAACAAAACAAAACGAACACCGTTCTTATCGGGAGAATTAAACCAATGCCCATTATCGCCTAAGGCACGCTTCAAAATATTACCTTGATAACATGGCGAGCATTGTACTCCCCATCGGATACCACGCAGTATAAAAATGAACGAAAAAAAAACATTCAATAGATAGCACTCGATGAGTGGGCATATTCTCAACAAGTTCCATAAATACCGACCACAAAATACTCACGTACCCTTTAGCTCGATATCGATGTCGGTCTTCAACATTATCGACGAATAGTTATCTCCGGCATTTGTTGCTGGGCTGACGTTGAACTTGATAATTTTTTCATAATTTTCAAATTCTCCACGGAGTATGTCTTCGAAATACGATTCGTTTAACCATTCCGGAATGTCTTTGGTGGATGGAGCCGAGACAGCTTCAGGGGTTGTTTCCTCTGCTTTTAGAGCAGCAAATCTGTAAGAAAATGTCCAATGACAATTACTTTCTCAAGAAAATTGTTGTGTCACCTACTTTGGTTCCATATAGCCATGATTGTACAGCCAGGGCAACAGCACATTAATATGTTTGATATAACGTGGATTGGAGTAAACGTTATTCTTAAAGTCCACACTCTCTTTTTCTTCGCCAATGAAATTCTCAAATTTGGCACTGTCGGTGGGATCCAAAAGCACAACACCCATTGTCATGAAGGCAGTAATTGTGGCCCACGAACCATAGGTAATCAGCTGCTTGTGGAATTCTCTTAGAGAGGGTATTTTCTCCTCAGGATATGACAACAAATTCAAATTTTCCACCAAATGTTGATGGTAATAGCTCACGAAGTATTCGAACTTGTCAACCTTAATATCAATTTGTGTTGATGATATAAGGAAATAGAAAAAGTCCTGAGCTGGCGACCCGTAATTGGTATTTTGGAAATCCACGTAGAGGACATCTTCTAATTTGCCATTATCGTCATATTTGAAGAGAATGTTATTGGACCACGAATCGCCATGATTCAGACAGTTGAAGAAATCGGGATTTGGTTTACGACCTACCATGAACTCTTCAACAGAGTTGTCGAAGAAATTGTTCTGAAAAAAAAAAAAAAACTAACTATGACATCAAACTCTACAAATATTATTATACCTTCCACCATAGTATGGAGGGTATATTAAGTTAGTCATTCCATTTGTAACACCTCGAAATATACATTTTAGACCCCACAAAGTATATATATTTTTGATCAGCATAAAATTCTATGTCGATTTATCAATGTCCGTCGGTCTGTCCGTCTGTAGAAATCACTCTAGCTTCCGAACGAAATGAAGTAAGTAGATAAAATTTTACTGAAATGTGTATTATGTCTACAGGACTTTTGGTATTGAAAATGGGCCATGTAGGTCCACGTCTTCGTATAGCCCCCATATAATGGTACCCCCCAATATTCAGTATTTTGATGATTTTAGCAACATTATTTACTGGAATTGTTTCAAATTTTGTATTTGAAGTTCGTCATAGATACCACAGCATAAAACAGAAAATCGGCCATGTAGGTCGACTTCTTCGTATAGCCCCCATATAACGGTACCCCCCGATATTCGGTATTCTGATGATTTTAGTGACATTGTTTACCAGTATTGTTTCAAAATTGGTATTTGAAGTTCGTAATAGATACTACAGCATAAAACAGAAAATGGGTCATGCAGGTCCACTTCTTCGTATAGCCCCATATAACGGTACCTCCCTATATTCGGTATTTTGATGATTTTGGCGACATTATTTACCGGAATTGTTTTAAAATTAATATTAAAAGTTCGAAATAGATACTACGGCTTAAGAAAGGAAATAGGCCTTGTGGGTTCACGTCTTCGCATAGGTCTGTGTGGGTCCTCGTTTTAGAACCCCATGGTACCTCCCTATATTCGGTATTTTGGTGATTTTAGCTACATTATAAACAGATTTTTTTTCAAGTTTCGCACTTGAATATTGTAATAGCTTGTGACAAAAGTCGTCTATGCAGGTCCACGTCGACGTACAGACCCTAATATACGGCTACATTCGGTATTTTTAAGATTTTAACAGAATTTTTAACGAATTTTATTACTTTTTTTTTTGAAAATTGTTAAATTTGTACCAAATTGGGGAGGGCCCGGCCGAACTTACAGCTTTTTTACTTGTTATTTATAAAATATATATTTATACATACAGGTGTAAAAGGCGATAAAGCGGAGTTTTGGAAATTCGAATTAAAAAGTACTAAAAAACCTTGGTTTTGGGATAACATTATATTTTCTTAAAATTTCGTATGCAGGACGTTTGTACTAAACAGGAACCAAAAAATTACTGCAATCTGTGATTGTATACTAAAACTCTAAACATTAACAGGTAGAATCTTCTAATTTCGCATATAGGTCGCTGTTAGTACGAGGATTTTTTTGCCTGGTATGGCCTCCGAAAAAACTCGCTTGAATTCGAGTAAGGAATGAAACTCGCTCGAAGTCACTTAGGAATGGAAACAATGAAACGAACCAAATTCTGATTAGCTCGATAAAGCGATCATGTTTTGCTCGATTTAGACCCGTACGAAAAGGGTATAACGTCATACTAAAAGGGTACTAAATTATTAAAAAATTGTATTTTTTCTTTAAATCTCACACTTTTCCATGCCTAGTGGCATTTGAAAATATGTTGTACTAAAAAGTATTTGATGTTGCACTCTTAGAGCTAAAATTCAACGATTTTATTGGGCTTTGTCTGAAAATGCAAAATTGTTTTAGAAATTGTACATTTTTGGTACTAAACAAGTAAAAAGCAGTAAGTTCGGACTTTGAAAACCGTCCAATATTTGTAAATTTTCAAAAAAAAAAAGTTGAAAATATCGAATATAGGGAGTTACCGTTAAGTTTTGTCATAGGCCATTACAATATTGAAATACGAAACATTTAAAAATCAAAATAAATCAAATTATAAAATTAACAATTATCTTACATTTATATTAAAATTTACCTAAATAAGTTATTCCTGTTTGAGGGGTGAGACAAGAAGAATTTTTGGAAATTTGACCTTAAGGATACGAAAACCACAAAAAAAATATAAATAAACACAAAATGGTACTGCGATGACATTTTCATGAGACTCATCCTTCGAATAAACATTTGCCATGTGATACAGCTAATAAATTGCTTATTAACATAACTTAGTTAGGGCCTAGGCCTCTTTAGGCGAAATCCGTATTAGGGCATGTGCACGATAAATTTCAAATATACGTGCCATATCCATAACGATATAAAAAAGGATGTTCAAAACAGTCTTTTGAGATATAATGTAATTGATTATTGGTGACATACCACAATACTATAGCCATAACCGTTACCGTAGATATCAATTGAATTTCTCTATTTATGTACATTTATTTGTATATTATTGCAGAAATGTGTAAATAAGAGCTCTTTATGGCACTGCAAATCGACCACATTAAATGTGTTTAGGCTCATTCGTTTTAGGCGATGTTTTATGTCATGTCTAAATAATCCTTAACTCTGGAAAAAGAGTATCCGATTTTGTTCAAACTCGGTACAGACTTAGATCGAGTTCGAAGATTGGCAATTGGTTTACTCCTAATGGTTCTTTCCCAACAAAAGTTCGAAATTTTGGAAAGAAATAAAAATCTCATATTATGCTTAAATGGACAGGTGTGAAAATGGTAATATTGGCCCACCCCTCTAAACACTGCGTCCAGCAAAAGTGAACAATTGCAAAAACTCTCGTAATATGTAAGACATTGTCCGATTGTCTTTATACTAATATTTAGTCCTATATTAGACCACGTGTAAAAATCGAATATATTGGCCCACTCTTTTGATACCTCCCTCGCAAAACTTAAACCAATTTGCAATAAAAAACATTAAAATCTCATAATGCGTAATGGTATGATTCGAAATTGTTCAATCTTAGCACATTGTAATATTTGAGGTAAAACTTATGTCTAGTGTCAAATTAGACAATATTTTTGTTCAAAAGGTCAAAATTTTGAGAAAAATACTAACTCCATCAAATTGCTAAATCATAGTTTAATTTCTCTAAGTTCTGTATAATCCGACATTTATACCCTTAGTCATAAGGCTACAAAGGGTATATGTCATTTGATACGGCCAAATAGGCTGTTGACCTTAGGTCTCTTTGGACCAAATCCCTGTCAGGACATTTGGAGTCGATCAGGTGTATCCGTCTGTCTGGCTGTTACGCACGATAACTCTCGATGCGATTATTCGATTAAGTTCAAACTTGGTACATTGTGATATTATTGTCAAATTTAGATCGAGCTTGGATCAGATCGAGATGGGCAAAATCAGTCCACTCCTTCTGGTACCTGTGCCACAAAACGGCAAAATTGTCAAAGATAATAATTTACGGCATAGATTGAGAAAGGATCATCCAATTTTGTGCAAACTTCGAAAATCTCAATATTTTCATCAGTGCTGGGTCAGATGCGAAAATAGACAATATCGCATGATTACAACTCTTTAAAAATGTGATTGATTTCAAATTACACCCACCACAATATTTTTTTAACCCAAGGTCTGCTATGAAGATGGAATTTATCGGACTACTCCTTCTAGTAACTCCCACAAAGCGTCAATATTTTGAATAACAAAAACTATCATAAAATCCAATATAAGCATCCGGTTCTCTTCATATTTCACACATCTTAACATTTATGATAACACAAGATCTGCCATAGTGATGCTAAAGATCGGATCATTCCTTCTGGTATGATCTGATTTGAATAACAAAAAAAAAAATTCAAAATTAACATCCGGTTCTCTTCAAATTTCACACATACAAACATTTTTGCTAACACAAAATCTGTTGTGAAGATGATAAATATCTGCGAACCCTTCTGGTACCTCATCCACAAAGGGTCACAATTTTTTAATAATTTTATCTCTCATAACTTGCGAACAAGTCAGCGATTCTTTACCAGAAACCCGAGATAAATATGGAATTTATGATCTCGCATAAAATTGGATATAAATGTTCCATTTTCTTGTAATTTTGCCCACACCAATATTTATATATGTATACGATGAAGTATGTATGTAGTCGACTATCAGGGCTGTCATAGAAACCAATTTTGTCACTATTGGTTTTAAAAACGACAAGAGAAAATGATTTGGTGGATAAACGTGGATTTTTAAAGATTTTTTTAAAGAGTATTTAAAGGACTATAAACGTGGATTTTTTAAAGATTTTTTAAAGAGTATTTAAAGGACTATAAACGTGGATTTTTTAAAGATTTTTTAAAGGATATTTAAAACTATCTCCGGCAACTCCAGTGAAATCTCTAAGAGCTTTTCTCGTCACCTTTTCTGAGAGTTCTTCGTCCAACAACACAAAAACTACCACTGCTGATGCCATCTTACTTTATTTATAGCGACTTATTCCTTTTTTTATTTACTTTACTTTTAATGATATTTCAATGACAAATAAACAAACAACACATGTAAGCAACAACAGCTGTTTCGAACATTGGTTTTATTTACATTCGAAATTGACAAAACCAACTTGGTTTCATGACACCAAATGAAACCAACATTGGTTTACAAAAACGACAATAAGCAAAACCGACATGGTTTCTGTGACAGTCCTGTATATCTGGTAACTGACGCACATTTTTACATTTTCTAAAAATTATGAAATATTGCATATAAAGTGAATGAAGTGACGATTATATAGTCCATTATGATATGTTGCATTATATATAACGTATTTATTTAGGTCCGATACGAAATAAACCTACTCGACGGTACAGGGTTGCCCATATTCGACGGACCCATCTGGCAACGCCATAACTTTTGACAGAGATGTCACATCGCTTAATGACATACAGCGTTTGAAGCGTCAGTCCAAGCAAATTTTTACCATGAACCAATACACGCCACGCGAGCGCTCTGAAAAAGTTGAAATTTACATTCAACAGAAGAAGTCAATTGTGAAAACTCAACGTGCTTTTAAAACATTAAAAAATGTGAGAAGTGCGCCTTCTAAGAACATCATTAGGCGTTTATACGAAAAATTTTCAACTGGTAAGGCTCTTTCTAATCCAAAGAGGCCATAAAAAATTTGACCAAGGCGATCGGCCGAGAATATCGCTGCCGTACGAACCAGTGTTGAGAGGTCCCCAAGAACATCCCAAAAACGCCGTTCTCAGCAGTTGGGCATGGCTCGGTCCACTTTACAACGGATTATTCTCATTGATTTGCATTTGTTCCCGTACAAAATTCAATTGACGCAAAGAATGTTGCCTGCGGACAAGCCTCGTCGATTGGAATGGGCCCAAAGAGTCATCGAAAAAAACATGGGTCCGTCGAATATGGCTAACCATGTATATCTGAAACTTCATTCCCAATTTTTTTACGAAATGGGTAATAATGACCCATTCCTTTAGAACCTTCTCCATTTGAATAATCATAGCAGAAATCCAAATATATTTAAATAGTCGAACATATGCTATGGGTATTTATCTGTCGGCAAAACCGATTGATACATTTTAACTTGTTCTACTTATCTTAAGTGTCAGTAGTATGGAGTCGACAGTATAGCTAAAACTGTATTCCCATATTTTTTAAATAATTTTCAATATTCAATCATCCGTAGAAATATAGTATTTATCAGTCACGAGTTTGTACTTGTACTTCTTTTCCTTTCTGAGTACTAAAATCTAAGACTGCACTGGTTTGGCATGTGATTTTTTTCTTTTATATCATAATACCAATTGAATTAAAATTTAATATTTTTGTTTTTCAAAAAATATTCAGCTGACATCAATTCTAAGTGGCATTCCAAAAGTCATTATAACTTTGTGACAGTTACTTACCATTGCATCATAATATTTTTCACCATTCTCAAACAACTTGATATTATCCAAAAATGGTTTCTTGAAGGAGCTAAACATTTGCTGCATAAAACCACGGCTCATTGGATTATCCAAATCACGATTGAACTTCTCATCGTAATCTCCCTTGAGCAGAACACGAACAGCTGAGGCGGCATGTAACTGAGCCATTTTGCGCAACACTGCCAGTGTGTGTTCCATATCCAAACATTCCAAGCGATTGGCATTCTTAAAGTTTCGAGATCCCAAATCTTCCATTAAACAATAGTAATCGACGGGAGCTTCTTCGGCCATAATGTAGGCCTTGGGACCAAAGGACACATTTACACCAGCCTTGTGATACATTTCTTCCATTTCCGGAAGGACTTCATTGTAGGCGGCATTTTCGACTTGGAAGAAGTTCATGTGTTTCAGCATTAGCTGCATTTCCTCAGTGTCGTGAGCTACCTTTAACATAAAGGTCAGATCTTTGTTGGTCCCATCCAAGAGGCTAAATGTAACATAAACTCTCAAGATAAGCGTGGAATAATTTTCGCCAGCAGCCAAGGCGGGTTTGGCTTTGAACGAAATGATTTCATTGAAATTGGGATACAGCTTCATTAGCACAGGTTGTATGGTTTGCCTATTGACCCAAGTGGGTACGCGAGGATCCATCACTTCTTCCTCTTCTGCTGCTTTGTCATTTTCTTGGATCACGGCGGATGTGACAACTGCAACCTGAATTTCTTCTTTGGTCACTTCTGGTTTAATTGTTGTTTCATCTTTCGTGTCGTATGTATTAATTGGAGGCCCACCCGGTTGTTCCTCCGTAATGGGGGTTTCGGGTGTAACTATCACCGTTGGCAATTTAACTTCCGGCAATGGTCTCGGTGTTCTTTTATATTTAAAATCTTTGTCAGACACTACTGGAGCTATGTCGTAGCTCTTGGGTTCGTGTTTCGAACTACGTGAACCCATTGTGAACAAATTTGCACGCAAAAAAAGAATCTATTTAAAAACAAAAACAACAAAACGATGTCAACGACCGGAAAACAAGAGACACTAAACAACCTTCACGGTCCACTACAAATTCACTACTGTAGAGCGGCGATTAACAAATTTTTCGGTTTTATGCATTTCATAGATATGCGTGAAAACGCCGCGATCGCTTTGAGCGATAAACTGAGAGACTGTTGTTGTAGTTTTCCCCAAAAAAAAATTGAAATTATTATCAAGTTTATTTTAAGCAACACACCGTCGTCGGGCATTTCGGCGATTGTGCGTGGTAAAATTATCACAATCAAATCAAAGATATCGTACGCTCTCTTTATCTCTCTCCCTCTCTCTTGCTTGGCTCTCTTTTGTTTTTGAAATGTTAATTAATGACACTGCTTAATTTTAATGTCAACCGCGGTGGCTTCTAATGGCATTGTTGTTTACCAGCACAAATTGATCTAAATTTTTAGATAAGCTGGACTTTTAGTTATTTCTGATGTAATAACATTGTACCTCGCGCAATACGGGGGGCCTGGGAATTTAAATTCAAGATATCATATATTGATGGATATGAATACGTTAGATCTAAAAACTACAAACATTTTATTAGTATACTATGATGATCTAATTTTTCGGTCTAACATAAAATTTCCAGAAAAATGGTTAAAGTATTTAATAATATCCAAAAAATATACAGGGTGAGATAAAAAAACCTGCAACTAAGTCAAACGATATAATTTTTACATTTTTTTATACCCTCCATATATTAAGTTTGCCATTCCGTTTGTAACACCTCGAAATATACATTTTAGACCCCACAAAGTATATATATTCTTGATCAGCATAAAATTATATTTCGATTTAGCAATGTCCGTCCGTCTTTGGAAATCACTCTAGCATCCGAACGAAATGAAGTAAGTTGATAAAAATTTACTCAAATGTGTATTATGTGTGCAGGACTTTTGGTATTGAAAATGGGCCATGAAGGTCCACGTCTTCGTATAGTCCCCATATAACGGTACCTTCCGATATGCGGTATTTTGATCATTCTTATAGCCCCCATATAACGGTACCTCCCGATATTAGATATTTTGCTGATTTTATCGACATTATTTACTGGAATTGTTTCAAGTTTAGTATTTAAAGTTCGTAATGGATACTATGGCCTAAGAAAGAAAATGATCCATGTAGGTCCACGTCTTCATATAGCGCCCATATAACGGTTCCTCTCGATATTGAGTATTTGATGATTTTAGAGACATTATTTACCGGAATTGTTTCAAATTCCGCATTGAAGTTCGTAATGAATACTATGCCTATGACAGAAAATTGTTTGCGCAGGTTCAAGTCTTCGCATAGCCCCCATATAACGGTACCCCCGATATTCGGTATTTCGATGATTTTAGCTACATTATGTACCGGAATTATTTAAAATTTTGTATTTGAAGTCCGTAATGGATACTACATCTTATGCCAGAAAATTGTCTGTACAGGTCCACGTTAATTTAGGCTACATTATAAACAGATTTTTTTCAAGTTTCGCATTTGAATATTGTAATAGCTTATGACAAAAGTTGCCTGTGCAGGTCCACGTCGTCGTAGAGATCCTAATATACGGCTACATTCGGTATCTTTAAGATTTTAATAGGATTTTTAACGGATTTTATTTTTTTGAAAAATTGCCAAATTTGTACCAATTGGTGGAGGGCATACAAAGTTCGGCCTGGCAGAACTTACAGCTTTATTACTTGTGTTTTTTTTTTAATTTTATTGAATGAAAACAAAAATTGTCGGAAATAGCATCAAATTTTAGAATAAGTTTAGATTTGTCCGAATTTGTCACCTTTGGCACGAATTATGGCCTTCAAACGGCCAATGAAACCGTCACACGCTGCCCGAATGTTGCTCTGCGGTACTTTGGCCCATTCCCAGCGAATCGAACTTTTAGAATTATTTAGTGCCAACCATGCTTTCCAAAATACACCAGACACAAGAGTCCAACCGATTGGTATCCGGAGATTTTGGTGTCCATTGTGCGCTGGAAATGAAGCGAGGGACCTTTAATACGCCCTCCACAATATTTTCGCGATAATATTCGACATTTATTCTGATGTCACGGTCGACTAACATGAGCGGAGAGCTACCATCGGCTGTTATGGCGGCCCACACCATCACCATGGCCGGCGATGCACATTTTCAGCTGACCTCTTGGACATGTTAACATCATCATTCTTTTTTACAAACTGCTGGACAGCGAATGTTTTCTCTTCTTAGAAAACCAAATTCGGCAGCTCACCACTTTCGGCCAAGCGAAGCAACTCTTTAGCTCTTTTGAGTCTATTTTCTTTCTGTTGCGGTGTAAGTTCTTGCACTTTTTAGAATTTCAATGGCTTTACACCGAGCTCATTTTTCAATATTTGCTGAATGGAATATTGCGATAAGTTCAGCTCACGAGCCATTTCGCTTCGCTTCTTTACTTTTCGAACCATTTCTGCTGATGTTGCTGTTTTCTTCCGTCCACTTCCTTGACGTCGGGCAACGCTACCAGTATCACGGTAACGAGCGAGATTTATTCACATTTAAATATTGGAGTGTTCTAACGATAGCCACTTGTGGTTTTCCATCAAAATATAAAGAAATCACACTATCACGCTTGAATTCCATCACAAATAACTTTTTTGCTGGAAAATTCTCACCAAAATGCTTTTGTACGCTTGTAAACAATATAATAAGCTGTCACTGGAATAATTGCAACATCTGTCGGACGAGTGGCTTAGAAATGATAGCAGTCTGAAGTTGGTTTTTTGATCTCACCCTGTAGAACACATTTCCAAAACCACGTCCACATCTCAATTCCAGATACCAACAGAGACCTCAATATCTTATTTAAGGATTCCAACCCTATCCCTTCACCCAATAAAAATATTTAGTACTTTTCGTAAAATTATAGGACACTTTTTCAAAAACAGTTCCATATGTCCTGACTACACATGAACAGCGACCCTAATACCAAACTTCAAGCACTATCTCTTCACCGAATACCAAATTGTACCAAATATAATAATTTTCGTGCACTTGTAGTACACATTTCCAAATTTCAAAATGTCAGCTTCATCCGTTCACAAAATGTTCTAAATTGAGTACCCTGTAGAACAGTTCGCAAACTGGTACACATTTTGAAATTAAACTCCATATAACAAACCTACTTTCCAACCATGATTTTCATACAAAATTTAAAAAGTTTATCTTTATCTGTTCATATAACACCAAATTGTACCAAATATAGTACTATTTAGTACTTTTCGTACACTTGTAGTACACATTTTCGAAACCACCTCTTTATTACCACCAACAGGAACCCCAATACAAGATTTCAAAATTCCAGCTTCATCTGTTTATCCTAAACTAAACTGTTTTAAATTTAGTACCATTTAGAACATTTCGCACACTTAGTACACATTTTCAAAACCACCTTCAACATCAAACTTACTTTCCAACCTTGATTCTCAATCAAATTTATAGCTCTATCCGTTCACATAATACCAAATGGCTTCATTTTGGAACTTTTCATAACCTTAAAGTTAAAATTTCCAAAAACCCTTCGGTACATCTATCCTACACTCCATTAGTGACTCTCATTTCCGAATTCTTGTTTAATCCGTTTTTCCAATACAAATTATTTACTTTTTTATACAGATGAGTACTTCTCGTATCCTTTTATTACGAATTTCCAAAGCTTATCATACGCCCGCGCTTTGAAACCCATCCTCGTGCAAAAATTCGAGATTCTAGCTTCAGCTGTTTAGTATGGGCGTTGATTCAAGATCAATCAATCTGTTATTTCACAAATCTTATACATATATAGATGTAACGCTTTCGACGCTAAGTCGAAAACATAAAAAATGTTAAAATGAATTAAATTTTAACACAAGCAAGAAGAAAAGAAGGAAAAAGAGTCTTCTTATCATGCACGGCTTAATGTACCCTGGGGCCAATTTTAACAATTCAATATCGAACAAATTTTGTTCGAAACTAATTTATTTTAATTATAAATTAATGCTGGGTCCAGCGTTTAGCTCTAATATTCAGTATTAACAAGTTTCTTTCGAAATTTTCAATTATATTTTCAAATCCATTCCGATTGGAAATTTTTTTGACACTGAATCTTCCCCTATTATAATATTTCTTTGCTTTCAATACATACTGGTTTATAAATCTATCGCCCCTAAACATTTAATATGTGTCAGTATGTTCGGCTATTAACTTGTAGGATTTATTTTTATGAAGAATCTATAAATATTTGGCACTAATTGACATAAAAATACACATATTTTGAATTTCTATACACACACAAATTTATATACTAATTCTTGAAAATAATATCTTCAGTTTGTTTTTAATTTCTTTATTCTTCTGAACTACACATGGGGCCCTTTGTTCATAGATTTTTTCAGACCCTTCATTGCTCCAATCACTGTAGATTAAATAAAAATATTATATTTAATTTTAAATATTTCTTTTCTTTGACTACAACTTACCGGGTTTCCATAAAACCTCGAGCATGGAACCATGGCAGCAATTTGGTAATATGTTCCACATATCTGGTATTCGAATAAATTGTCTTTTTAAATTCCAAATTATCTTTTTGTTCGCCCAACATATTTTCAAAGTTCGCCTTTTCGCTGGGATCCAACAGCACTATGCCCATTGTAAAGAAGGAGGTAATAATGGCCCAGCTGCCATAGAAAATTAACTGCTGATGCAGTTCACGGAGTGTGGGAATTTCCTCTGGAGGGAATATAAGTAAGCGTAGACTTTCTTCCAAATGTTGATGATAGTAGCGTATGAAATAGTCAAATTTATCTATTTTTATATCGATTTGCGTTGATGATATGATAAAATAGAAGAGATCCTGAGCCACGGGACCATAGTTGGTATTTTGAAAATCGACGAATAGGGCGTCTTCAACTGTGCCATCAGCGTTGTGTTTGAATAGAATATTATTGCACCAGACATCACCATGATTGAGAGCATTGAAGTAGGCGGGATTTTCCAGACGACCGTAAATGAATTCATCCACAACATTGTCGAAAAATTTATTCTGAAAAAAATAGAAAAAAAATCCATGTTTGCGATCAGGAAATCTTAAGAGCGTGCTAAAAAGTCTTGAAAATCTCTCATTTGGAAGTTTACCGCAGAGGATATAAGTAAAACCTTGCAAAATGTATACCTTAACCACATACACCAACTGTGACATTGAAATCAAATTATAGGATATCAGCTCTATTCCTTCACTCAATACCAAATTTAGTACTATTTAATACTTTCCGTTCATTTATGAGTTGTTTAGCCTCAATATCATATTTGCGGCTAAACAACTCACGCCAAAAAGTGTCATTTAATACTTTTCGTACAAATATATTACCATTTCTATACTGCCACCAAATCTTAAACACAGTAATCTAAATATAAATTTTCAAAATTGTATTTATATATCTTCCCCCAATAGAAAATATAGTACCATTCAGTATTTTCGGTGGTTTCGGAATTTTGTACTATAATTCCGAAACCACCGAAACCAATGCAGCGACTCTAATACCAAATTTCATATTTCAAGCACTATCTATCAATACCGAATTGTACCATATATAGCACTATTTAGTACTTTTCGTACGCATGAAGTACACATTTACCAAACCACCTCCGTATCTCAATTCCAGATAACAACACAGACCTCAATATCAAATTTCGTAATTCCGGCCCTGTACTTCACCCATTACCAAATTAAGACCATTTAGTACTTTTCGTTCAAATATATACGACGCATTTCAAAATCACCACCAAATCTCAAATACAAATGCCTTCAGTAATCCAAATATCAAATTTCAGAATTTTATCTCTATCCCTTCACCCATTACCAAATATAGTACATTTGAGTACTTTTCGTGCAATTATAGTACATATTTCTGAAACCACCTCCGTATGTCCAGACAGAACATGAAAAGCGACCCTAATACCAAATATGATATTTCAAGCACTATATGTTTACTCAACACCAAATTATATCAAATATAGTACTATTAAGTACTTTTTGTACACTTGTAGTACACATTTCCAAAACAACCTCCATGTCTCAATTCGAGTTATCAACAAAGACCTAAATAGCAAATTTGGGACTCCCTTCACCCACTACTAAATTTAGTACCTTTTGTACAAATATAGGACGCATTTCCAAATCACCAAATATCAAATTTAAGATTTTTATCTCCATCCCTTCACCAAATATCAAAAAGAGTACCATTTAGCAGTTTTCGTACAATTATAGTACACATTTCCGAAACCACCTCCATATAACCTAGCAACACATGAACATCCATCCTAGTACCAAATTTCATATTGCAAAAACGATATCTGCACACAATACTAAATTGTAGCAAATATAGTACTACTTAATGCTATTCGTACACTAGTAGTGCACATTTCCAAAACCAGCTCCATTTCTCAATTTCAGATACTAGCAGAGGCCTCAATATCAGGCCTATTCCTTAATACAATACTAAATTTGGTACCACCTAGTACTTTTCGTACAAATATACAACGCATTTCCGGAACTACCTACAGACACACAAACTCCACACCACCTATCACAAACCTACCCCTAACAGGGATCCCAATACAAATTTTTAAATTTCCAGCTCCTTTCGTTCCCCCTAAACCCAACTATTCCAAATTTAGTACCACTTAGTACAGCTTGCACATTTAGTACACATATCCAAATCACATTCATTTATCAAACTTATCCGTTCTTATAATACAATTGCAATTTGTACCAAATTTAGTACCATTCGGTTCACCTAAGTAAAAATATTTATAACTACCTACATCAAACAGTCCAGTAGAAATCTGAATTTCCAATTTCAGTATTCAAACTCTATTTGTTCACCCAAATTTTCAATTGTACCAAATTTAGTACCATTTAGTACACATAAGTATGAATTTCCTCAGTCCCAGAATGCAATAGAAAACTTATTTCTAAATTTCAAAGTTCCACCTCTATCGGTTCACCCAAATCGAAATTGTGCCATATTTAGTACCTTTTAGTACTTTTCGTGCACATAAGTGCAAATTTCGAAATCTTGCCCCATATCACCATTCTCACACTCCGCCGGTAATGTTAATGTCAAATTTTAGGACTCCAGCTCCATCCGTTGATCCAAATTTAAATTTTACTAAATTTAGTATTGTTTAGTACTTTTCGTATACATGAGTACACACTTTCAAAAGCTACCTCCTTACATCGACCCTACTTCTTAACCGTGATTCCCATTCCGATTTCAAATTTCACGTTTTTATACCCTACACCACAAGGTGGTCAGGGTATTATGTCTTTTTGCATTTTTTTGTAACAGGCAAAAGGAAACGAGATAGACCCATAGTTCCTTTTGATGATCTGCATACAATCACATTCTAAGTCGATTTATGCATACATATATATCTTCGTCCGATTTGCCTTTTATTGTGCACCAAACGTGTAATACCAGCCCGAATAGTATGACATTTTTCACATACAACTAAATTAGGCCTGAAAATAAGTATGCCATATTTGATCGAAATCAGTTCAGATATAGCTATAGCTCCCATATATATTGTTCATCCGATTTGTTATTTTTATCCTCCGCAGCCGTAATATGCACTCTGTAACAACAATATTTGGGGGAAATATATCAAATACAGCTCAAAAATACATTTGCTAAATTTTATCGAGATCGGTTCAAATTTGGATATAGCTCCCATATATAACTTCGTCCGATTTACTTTTTACTGTGCACCAAACGTCTAATATTTTTCCAAATGGGATGGAATTCGGCACTTCGGAGTCTAGAAGCTAGTATGTCAAATTTGGTGAAGATCGGTTCAGATATAGCTATAGCTTCCATATATACTGTTCATCCGATTTGTTATATTTGTTACCCACAGCCGTAATATGCACTCCGTAACAACGATATTCAGGGAAATATATCAAATACAGCTCAGAAATATCTTTGCCAAATTTTATAGAGATCGGTTCCGATTTGGATATAGCTCCCATATATATCATTATCCGATTTCAAATTAATTGTGCACCAAATGGGTAATACAAGTCCGAATTTAAAAGGTACAAATCATATTGAGTCTTTTGAACTTTAAATTATAATCATATCGTGTATGATTGAATTCTCTCATAAAAACTTTTAATTGTTATGCGGAGCTCTACTAAATTAGCAAAGTAGTGTAGGTTATCATAAAGTCGGCCCAGCCCGACTTTAAGACTTTCTTTACTGGTTAGCTTTAACCGTCCACATGATAGGAAATGGTACTAAATGTAATACATTTTCTTACTCTTATTGTGCGTACAGTTTAGTACCTAGAGTGACCCTCACCCAAAATTTCAACATTCTGGCTTCAGCCGTTTCGTCTGGGATTTGATGAATCTATCATTAACATAGATATACGTTATCAAGTCTACTTACCATACTTTCGTAATACTTTTCACCATTTTCATATAACCTCAGATTTTCCATAAATGGTTGCCTAAATGAGTTAAACATTTGCACAATGTACTCACGACCCTGAGGGCGTGATAAATCTGCTTGAAATATTCCCGAATATGAGCCCCTCTCAGCGATACGGCAAGCGGATGCTGCATGAAATTTAGCTAATTTCCGTAAAACCGCCTCAGTATGATCCATGTCCAGGCATTTCAAACGATTTACATTTCTATAACCACGCACACATAAATCTTCGAGTAGGACATAATTGGATGAGGGCACTGCGTCCGATAATTCATAGACTTTGGCCCCAAATGAGACATTGCCTCCTACCTGGCGATACATTTCTTCCATTTCAGGTATAACTTTGCTGTAAACTTCTCTCTCAACATCAAAGAAATTTTTCATTTCCAGCAATTCTGCCATTTCACTGCTATCATGAGGCACTTTCATCATAAACGAGAGAGTTTCGTTTGAGTTATTCTTAAGTCTCATGATTATGGTAATTTTTAACATTAGAGTACAATAGTTCTCGCCTGGGGCCAAGGCTGGGCGGGCTTGAAAGGATAGAATTTCCAAAAATTCGGGTTGTTTATTAGGCAAAAGTTCCTGGAAAATGTACATATTTATCCAGGTGGGTATTGCCGGTGAATTTCTAGAGCTATTCATTGTTGTTTGGTTTGTTTTGTTCTCAGTCTCTAATTCTTTATCAGCATCTGGGGTAATAATCACTTGAGGCACTGCAATATCCGGCAATGGTCTAGCAGCCTTCTTATATCGAAATTCTTTATCCGAAACAATTGGAGCAATATCATAACTACGCGGACTACGTTTAGTATTTATTAGACCCATATCGGAGGGTTTTGCATGAACACAACAACCTATCCAAGTCAAATTATTTTGTGTACTGAAATGTCAACGTTTTATTACTGTTTTACTTTGCAATTTGATTGTCTTAAAAAATTCTTGTAGATAACTTTTTTTTTGGTTTTGTTAAATTGTTATCTTGTTTACATTGCCACCGTATCGTGCAATAGAAAGACATTTAAGCTATTTGAGAGTTGAAAATAATGCAATTTTTGATATACAATCTTGCCGCAGTGGGGAAAATATTAGGGTCGATCCGATTCTGATCAATAATGGGTTGGAAAATGTTCGTGATTTTTCATCTAAAATAGGATGGACCCCTTCAAAAAAATATTTCCAGTGGCTATCGTGTTATTCGATTGAATATTGAGCATTTTTATACCCTCCACCGTAGTATGGAGGGTATATTAATTTTGACAATACCCACCGAAATTATTTAAGATGTCGTATTTGAAGTTCGTAATGGATGCTAACAGAAAATTGTCTATTTAAGTTCAGGTCTTCGTATAGCTCCGATGTGACGGTACCTCCCTATGTACGGTATTTTGATGATTTTAGCTACATTATTCACCGTTTATTTCAAGTTTCGCATTTAAATATGGTAATGGCTTATGACAACAATGCCTATGTAGGTCCTCGTCGTATATACCCCAATATAACGGCTATATTCGGTATTTTTAAAATTTTTACAGAATTTTTAACGGATTCTATTTTTTGAAAATTTCCAAATTCCGAACTTACTCCTATTTAATTTGTTTCCAATATGATGTTTTGACGGACTTAACGATTCATCAACGACCAGACGGAACAGCTGAAGCTAGAATCTTGAAATTATGGGTGAGGTCACTCTTGGTTCGAAGGGGTCAGATGAGACTGAATTTTTGGAAATTCGTACTAGAACGATATGAAAAGTACAAAAAGGTATTAAACATGGTGCCCTTTGTATTTGAGGAAGAAGTAGAGCTAGAACACCTACATTTGGAGTGAGGGTCACTGATGGAGTATATAATAGATGTACCAATTGGTTTTTCCAACTTCGCACTGTAAATATACGGAAAGTGCTAAAATGTACTACATTTGGTACCAATTCGTATCATGTGAAAGGTTAGAGTTAAAAACTTGATGTTTGGAATGCAAATCAAAATTGAGGAGTAGGGTCGATGTAAGGAGGCAGTTTTAGTGGTTTGTTCTCATGTACAGGGTGAGATTAAAAAACTGCAACCGACTTCAGACTGCTGTCATTACTAACCACTCGTCCGACGTCTATTAAAATTATTCCAGTGACAGCTCATTATATTGTTTACAAGCGTACAAAAACATTTTGGTGAGAATTTTCCAGAAAAAAAGTTATTCGTAATGGAATTCAAGCGTGATAGTGTGATTTCTTTATATTTGTCTAGAAAACCACAAGTGGCCATCGTTAGAGCACTCCCTCATTTAAATGTGAATAAAAGTTTTGTGTCTCGTACCATTGCTCGTTACCGTTATATTGGCAGCGTAGCGCATCGTCAAGGAAGTGGACGGAAGAAAACAGCAACATAAGCAGAATTGGTTCGAAAAGTAAATAAGCGACTTGATCGAAACCCGCGTCGCAGTGGCCGAAAAAATGGCTCGTGAGCTGAACATATCGCAATATTCCATTCGAAAAATATTGGACAATGAGCTCGGGGTAAAGCCATTGAAATTCCAAAAAGTGCAAGAACTTACACCACAACAGAAACAAAAAATATTTTGAGTTGCTTCGCTTGGCCAAAAGTGGTGAACTGCCGAACTTGGTTTTCTCCGATGAGAAAACATTCGTTGTCCAGCAGTTTGAAAACAAACAAAATGATCGTGTTTACTTGCCAAAAAGGTCAGCTGAAAATGTGCACCCACATTTGTCCACTAGAACTGAAGCGCCGGTCATGGTAATAGCGTGGGCCGCCATAACAGCCTATGGTAGCTCTCCGCTCGTATTAATAGACCGTGGCATCAGAATAAATGCCGAAAATATTCTGGAGGGTGTATTAAAGCCATGGTCCCGCAAACATTTTGGCCGCAGACCTTGAACATTCCAACAGGACTCTGCCCCATCGCACTCAGGACACGCCACCCAAGAATGATTACCAAATGAGTTTCCTCGCTTCATTTCCAACGCACAATGGCCACCAAAATCTCCGGATACCAATCCGTTGGACATTGTGTCTGGAGTATTTTGGAAAGGAAGGTTGGCACTAAAAAATACCAAAGTGTCGATCACCCCAAGCATGCGCTTCGCCGGGAGTAGGCCAAAATACCGCAGAGCAATATACGGGCAGCATGTGACGGTTTCATTGGCCGTTTGAAGGCCATAATTCGTGCCAAAGGTGACCAATTCGAACAAATCTAAACTTATTCTAAAATTTGATGCTATTTCCGAAATTTTTTGCTTTCATTCAATAAAATTAAAAAAATGTAAAAATGATTATTTTTTATCCAACGCACTATAGTATCATAGTTATCAACACCAGAAAATTATAACTGTTTGTCCATATTTGTGGCATAATATTTTACATGGCTTCGTATGCTCTGATACGGAAGTGATGAATATGAAAACGTCCGGAAAGGCCGATTTTAATACAAAAAAATAATGGGAACTTAGAAATAACTAAAATGTCTTTGCCAAAATATCTGTATTAAGTATTGTTAACTCTGGCATAAAATTTGGCGAACTTATCATTTGTGGTTAAATAGAATTGTTGTATTTTTACTATACTGACATAAAACTCTCTTCAGAGATCGTTGCCCCGAAATTATCCCCTTATGTTTCGATGTGCTTTTAATTCATTCATTTAGACAAAGCAAATAAGACTTAGAGGTTATCAACATAATCTTAAATTATATCTTTCAATGCACTTTTTGACGACCATTTTTTATAATTCAAAAGTACGCCTTATTGTTTCTACTTTTTGCAAGTCATTGTTAACTCTTGCAATCTTAACAAAGACGTCTGTTTGATATTTCCTTCAAAGGCTATATACAACTTCTTCAACAAGACAAATTTTCTTATCAGTCAAGTTATATCAAAATATGGATTTATGACGTCGTATTGATAATACAAAAATAATTAATATAATAATCTGATGTACATATTCGCAACTATTTCGTCAAGATTGTCATAATCTTGTGGTGATTATCGATGTGGGAACATTATTTATTATTTGGTTAGTGACTAACATTTCTGCTTTGTTTGCCTTTGCCCCTTATTCTTAAAGAACAAACTTATGTTTGAGCCATGCCTAGATTTATTTTATTGTTCTTTATTAAATTTTAAATACTAATCCGGATATTACTGATTATATGTACCTCAAATAACCTTGTCCTTAACACTTTCTTGAAGTTCCAAAATGATTGACAGTTGAAAGAACCATCCACATAATCTTATCTTAGGCAACACGCCGTACAACATATGACTACAAGATTATTTGTTGTTCTTCTGTATTCTTATCGTCAAAACTTTATATGTCATGGTGTGTTGGCTGATTAAAATAAGAAAGAATGAAAATATAGATAGGTATTGAATCAATAGAAACCGTCATTCTTTTAGATCTGCAAAAAGTATGGAAGATAGAACCAGATAGGTACGAAAGCACTTATTTTTTTAATAATATATTTTCAAAGCCCTTAAAAAGACAGGTAAATCATGTTTTATGTTTCGTCAACGGCGGCTGGTTCATTGTATCAATGAGATAGTTTCTTAGATTTTAGGTTTTACTGATATTTAATAACTTTTAATACACCCATAAAAATATTGCCTAGTGTTAACCAAATTATATTAGGACCTACGAAGATGTGGACCTGCCATAGATGGTAGTACCCATTAGAGAAATACGAAATTTGATACATTTCCTATGAATAATGTCGCTAAAATCATCAACATACCCAATACAGGGGGTACCATTATATGGGGGATATACAAAGACCTGGACCTGCATATGCAATTATCTGTCATAGACAGTAGTAGCCACTAGAAATTCAAAATTTGAAATAACTCCGGTGGATAATGTCGCTAAAATCATAAAAATGTCGAACATAGGAAATTACCGTTATATAGGGGCTTTACGAAGATATAGACCTATATTTGGATGTACAATTATATAGGGAATATATGCAAATATATTTTTTTAAATAATGGGAACATATACTGCCAATTTAGAGCAAATTTGATTGAAAAATGTGAGTACAGCCGCCAAAAAAAACCAAAAAAACCAAATTTAGACAGAAAGAAGGACATCGCGTCATTGTATTATTAAAGAGGTTTCGTAAGAATAATGACACATTTTAATTAAATTAATTAAACAACTTTCACATCGTGCTTTCTCAAGCGTTTGCACCTTCTTCTACTTTTTTTGGTCTTTCCATAAAAAGCAGTGTCAAATAAGAGCTCTTCGAAGCTGGAGATTGCATATCTTCTCATTTTATTATGCAACGAAAAATAGAAATACATATGTTCGGAAATATAAACAAATGCCCTATTAACAAGAGTGGCGCTTTAGAAATTAAGTTTCCGGACTAAAAAATATAAAATTTAAATAAATAAAATTGAGGCCACTTGACCAAAAAGAAATATAATTCCAACAAATAATTGCTAATATCAAAATTAAAAGATATACAGGGTGAGATGAAAAAACTGGAACCAACTTCAGAATGCAGTCATTTCTAAGCCTCTCGTCCGACAGCTGTTAAAATTATTCCAGTGAAAGCTCATTATATTGTTTATAAGCGTACAAATGCATTTTGGTGAGAATTTTCCAGAAAAAAAAGTTATTCGTGATGGAATTTAAGAGTGATAGTGTGGAATTTAAGAGTGATAGTGATAGTGATATTTGGCTGGAAAACCACAAGTGGCTATCGTTAGAGCACTCCTGTATTTAAATGTGAAGAAATCTTTTGTGTCTCGTTCCATCACTCGTTACCGTGATACTGGTAGCGTAGCCCGACGTCAAGGAAGTGGACGGAAGAAAAGAGTAACATCAGCAGAAATAGTTCGAAAAGTAAACCAGTAAAGAAAGTCTTAAAGTCGGGGGGGGGGCC